TCGGTGGTAATGCACACATCGCTGTGTTCTCAGCGTGTGGCACCACAGCGTCCATGGGGCTCCGAGGGCTCTTTCGACACTGCCGAGGTCCCCGTGCTATCTTGACGGAGCACGCAGCGTTCCGTCAGAAGTGACCAAGCGAATCTTAAGACGGTCGACCATCACTGAGCCCTTGACGAGACGACCGATGCGATTTGAGAAGCGTGGGGATTGGGTGGGCCTCGCTGGGTCGTGGTTCAAGTTGAAGAGGGATGATATTGGGTGGCCTGTCTGGGTAGTGGTTCAAGTTGGGGAGGGGTGATATTGGGTGGGCCTCGCTGGGTAGTGTTCAAGTTGAGGAGGGATGATATTGGGTGGCCTGTCTGGGTAGTGGTTCAAGTTGGGGAGGGGTGATATTGGGTGGGCCTCGCTGGGTAGTGGTTCAAGTTGAGGAGGGATGATATTGGGTGGGCCTGGCTGGGACGTGGTTCAAGTTGAGGAGGGGTGATATTGGGTGGGCCTGGTTGGGACGTGGTTCAAGTTGAGGAGGGGTGATATTGGGTGGGCCTGGCTGGGACGTGGTTCAAGTTGAGGAGGGGTGATATTGGGTGGGTCTCGCTGGGACGTGGTTCAAGTTGAGGAGGGGTGATATTGGGTGGGCCTGTCTGGGTCGTGGTTCAAGTTGACGAGAGATGATATTGGATGGGCCTGTCTGGGTCGTGGTTCAAGTTGGGGAGGGGTGATATTGTATTCTATGGTGCATTACGCCTCCAGTGACCATTGGGCCTAGGGTGGTGGTTCTTAACCTTGACTGCAGCCTTTGCACCGTAAAAAAAGAGTAAAATGTTAATAAATGCATAGAGGGTTTGATTAAACAAAGTTGTTGTACTTACGTGTCCGTGCTTAATTTGTACCTAAACAAATCTGTCCATGTCCCGCACCTCCTAGAAAGGGCATCTTGCACCCCATGCTTAGAACCACAAGCATAAGCTATACATATTTATTCTCCGTCCCATAATTGGATCACCTCTCTCTACCAAATAGAGATGGTCACTGTTTGTGTACAGAGCCCTCGAGATGGGTGCCGTGGTGGCGAGTTGTTAACTCACTTGCCAGGTATGCAGGAGGTCGTGGGTTCAAATCCAAATCCAAACCCAATCCCGACCCTGACGCTATGTATATTTGGAGTTTGTGTTCTACCCGTGGTTGTGTGGATTTTTATCCAGGTCTTCCGGTTTTTCTCTCCACATTAAGAATCAAAGTGCTATACACTTCCACACGATAAGCCACTTCGTTGAGCTATCATTTGTGGCGAGGTCGCATCTGAAAAAGAGCTACAACGCTCAGTGGGCCTTACCTAGTAAACTAAAACAGTTTCGCTCGTGCTTATTCAATTTAGTAGCGTTACGTGAACTAATTACATACAGCGTATATGAAACGGACACGATAGAGTCACACACGTACAGTTCGATGTGTGTGTGTGTATCGAATCTATGGCTTCGTTTACGCCACTAATGTCGAGTAAATTGCCAGGTCCCCCACAACTGCTCAGATCCTGTCAGAACCACTTTAACGCACGCTAGCGAGATGTAACGGGAGGGTACCCACACGTGATTCCACGAGAGTGATACGTGTGAACCGGTCCTGGACCCCCCTTCACCAACCCACACTCGACTGGCGTGGTGAAATATGGTCAAACACCACTGCTCCTCCCCACCCCCATAACCAACACAGCATTGGATGGATGAGGCCCTTCGTCCATTCAGTGGCCAACGTTGTAAATGTCGACGGTGCCCGGTATGAAGCCTCTTCCGTACTGCAGCATCGCGCGCACACTGCTGTGTGGAAACATCGTAGGAAGGGAAAACTGTGTGGGAAACCGTCGTTCTGAATAGTGCCGGCATGCATTGGGTGGGTGTTGTGGCGTGAAACCGTCGTGTTACCGGCCAAATTCGACTGCCGCAGAAGGCTGCAAACGATGATTGTCTCGGTTCATCTCAGTCCTTTGGTAATATACTTGCGGAAATATAAACACCCACCATTTATAACTACTAAAACTATTTTTTATTTTACGAGGTAAGGCCCATTGAGCTGTAAAGGTCTTTTTTCAGAAGCGACCTGGCCACAATCGATAGCTCAACGATGTGGCTTGTCATGTGGACATTTATAGCAGTCAACTGCTCTAAACGCATGTTTCTAAATGTGGAGAGAAACACCGGAGGACCCGGAGAAAAATCCACGCGCCCACCGAGAGAGAGAGATACGCCAAACTCCAAATATACAACAGGCATCTGGGTCGGGATTGAACCCACGACCTCCTGTACACCAGGCGATGCAGTTAACATCTCGCCACCGCGGCGCCTTTACTTTTCCTGCCGGTAGATATAGAGGCAAGCAATGTTCGAGACTTAAGAGAACCATGTTTCGGGTTCATTATTTTGGCCACCTGTGCCAGGAATCAAACCACCAATCGCACCACCACCTACCGCGGACAGCGCGTCAAAGTCAGAACGTGCCAGCCAATTTGCATGGGCGTTTCAAGCGCCTTCATTTCAATATCAGACAAAGCTCCTGTTTGCTCTTTCATGGGTTTTTATGTTTTGGAAACCTGCGTGGAAATTTTTTTCTTCCACCACCACCACCACCACCCACCCCACCCCGCATCCCGTCCGTCGGCGGTGGAATAAATAAAAATCTACGAAAGTAAAAATGTTTGCCACCAGGGAAAAAAGGGAGCTGTGGTCGGTGGGCGTTTTTCACCTGCATCACAAAACACAATAAAATAATGAAGCGGATGATGTCTATAAATATATACACATATACCCGCGTGTGTGTGCGGTTGTGTGTGGTGGGGGGGGCGGTAGTGTAGCGGTTAGCGCGCTGCGCTACGAACCTGACCACGCGGGTTCGATTCCCGCTCATGGCCAACACCAGTGACGCTTATTTTAACCGGTCCTCTGGGCCTCCCCTAGGTCGACTCAGCCTCAAATTATTACTTGGTTGCAGTGTGTAAACATCGCCACTGGGGAGACAAAGGCGGCCGGGCGTGGTTGTTTGCCACCCACCCCCCTCGTGTGCCGTGCCGGCCTTCATAAGTGCTCGCTAACAGCACTTGCCCCAACAATCTGTCAAGGCTATACGGGGCATCTTTGTTGGGGGATGTGGAACGTTCAAGTTTCGCTTGCGTGTTGTTAATTTTGTGTTTAAATATTCAACAGCGCCTCCCACTGGACGACCTACAGACTGCAGCGGCATGGCTTCACGGATTGGGGGATTTAAAACTGGCAACTTGCATAGCTGATGTTTCATTACCGTCAGCCGCCCAGTTTGTATCATTCTTATTGTGTGTTGCTGGCAGGACAATTAACTAACGTCCTTCAATTGATGTAATGTTGGATGAAAGCCTCCGCGAGCCGTGTGGGTTATGCGGGTTGTTTTTACAATACTTCACCACGATGGTCATCGTGGGCTGGTGAAGCGGTATGGCCCCTCAAATATCACTCGTGACTCGAGTTAGCACGTCCGATTAGCACGGCTGGCTATGTACGGCGCGAAAGCTGCTTTACATATGTAGAGGAGTAAAATGGGGACGTGACGTCAGGTGTGCCGTTCAGTGCGATGACGTCACGTCTCCTAGGGTACTTAAGGGGGACCCCGTGACGTAAGCGGGGTCACTGTGGGAACGGGTAGAGTAAGCAGGGTGAAGAGGGAACCAGGGGTAGAGAGAGGGATCGAATAGGGAGTCTGGGGAGAAGCCGGTGGTAGTAGCCGTAGAGGTGCTTCTCTCTCCGCTCGGTGGAGTCGGCAGAGTCCACGATCCGACACGAGAGAGAGAGACCGGAGCTAGCCGGCAGGGACCCGGACTCAGAGTAGGACCCCTAGCCCCTGGGAGTTGTGTACCCTGCTGTGTATTATTGTTAAGCTCTAATAAACCCTGGCGAAAGCCCATAACTTACCTCCGCCTCCGAGTACGTCCGTGGGGACTTCTCTACACGTACATAGCAGTTGGCCGGGAGTCGAACCCAGGCCAGCGGGTTCACAGCGGCAGCGTGCCAATCACTGCCAAACTGCCCCGCGAATCCTTTAACGTCTAAGTCCAGATCAGCTCGCCAGGAAATGACCTCAGTTGCTTCAATGTCTCTTAGTCAGCTGCAAGACAAGTTTGCTTGGTCAATTATTTCGAGCGGTGTGTGGCATTGCTATTGCCGTTTGAGCCAAAATGTCGCAGCGTCGCGCGCTTGTGGATGCGCGTCTGCGTCCGTCTTGGAACGCTGTTCCTTCCGATATCGGGAAGCCACTGGAGCTATGCACTTTCAAATCGTCTCGATTGAAAACTCGCTTCTTTCAAGCTGCTTTTTGTGTTCATTTTGTTTGCCCTTTCCCCGCACCTCCGATGATGGCGAAAGAAGTTCAACATACGCACGTGATGGCATCAGCTCGCGTTGAACGTTGAGAAGGATGCCATTTGCGCACTCGGCAGCTGCAGTGAAAGCGTGCGATAGCTCCTTTTGATTGAGTCGGCTCTATGTCCTCAACCACAGCCCCATATCAAGACGCTCACCAATGAACGCAGGCGGACTCACCCCGGGTCCACCTTTGCCTGGCCCAGAAAGCCAACGCGAACGTCAAAACGACGACAGCGCCACGTGGAGCCGCCGAGGCACAAGGCAGCAGGAAAGGAGCAATGATGCCTTCAAAAAAAAACTTGGGTCATAATAAGTCATTGAAGAATCCACGTAAAAAAACCACGTGGTTTAACGTTAAATTACTTTGTGTGATATACCTGGCCTGTGCGGCAAATGAAATCACTACCATCGGCAACAAATGCAGAGATTCCCACTTGTAGCCGGAATAGACCTTTGGAGACAAAGTGCTGTTAGCGAGCACCTGACGAAGGCCAGCACGGGACACGAGGGGGCGGGTGGCCCAGCACCGTGCCCGACCGCCTTTGTCTCCCCCAGCGGCGATGTTTTTGTTTACACCGCGACACGCGAGACACACAAATTCATGGACGCCCGTGATTAAAAGTACATAATGGTAATGCTTTATTAGGCTCAAAGGGTAGTAAGTATACACGTACAGGGAGGGCTTCCAGTTTTCGTCAGCGCTCATTCCGTCAGCTCATCCCGACGGGAGAAAGGGAGTGGGAGGAGGTCGCCGCTGCCCACGCCACTAACGCGCGTTTAAATTTTCAAATTCTCCCGATTCCTGTGACCAGATTGAGAATGTCGACCTCAACCACTCATCGCTCCCCCGGTTTTACAAATGCGGAGAATGTTTGAAATGCCTCCGCGTGCTTCGCATTACAAAAAATGGGGGGGGGGGGGCGCCTGGGTTGGAAGTGACGAATCTCGCTGGTATTCTTGGTTCTTTCGGTAAAGTCACGTAGACAGAAAATAAAAAAATATAAAATAAAACATCAATTTAAAAAGCAAAAATCCCACGACGTTTCGATCGCAACACAAGCGATGCCGTGGGTTTTTTTCTGATATAATTTTTAATTTTCTTTTTTCTTCTAACTACATGACTTTACCGAAAGAACCAAGAATATGAATCCCTGCGAGTCACGAAAGTTTTCAGTCAACATTTTTACTCTCGCTGGTGTTCATCACTCGCCGCATTCGAATGCTCGGTACGGCTCGGATGGCGATTCCACCAGGGCACGCGTTCCCCCCTTTTAACAAGCGCGCAGCTCCCCGCGTTCTCAACGCGACACGCGCGTGTCTGGGATGAGCTGGCAGACCGATGTGGCCCGAGCGCGCACCACTCGGGAGACACCCGGGGGTTGGGGGGGCAGGGGCAGTGGGAGAGAGAACGAGGGAATGAAACAATAGCGAGAGTGAGACGTCTTTTTCAAAGAGAAAAAAAGTTATTTGTTGTCGGCCTAAACGTCCTACCTGGGAAAACTTGTAATAGCTAAAAGCCCAATACCATGCATAATGGAACAGCTTGCTTAAATATACTACCACCCTTTTGCTTAGTAGGTTATGAGTGCGTGTGTGTGTGTGTCGTTAGCATTACCTAAGCACCGCTATCATTCCTATGTTTGTTTCATTTCACATCCTCATCTCTTCGCCCACTGTCCAACACACTTCACGCGCGTGTCACGATACATCATCCGTGGTGTGCGTTGAGCATGCAGTCGCTCTGCGAGTTATTCGACAGACCTTAGACAAAGATCCCCCCCCACCCCCACTCAGTATAGCCTTTAACAGACTGTTGGGGCAAGTGCGGTTAGCGAGCACCTATTAAGGCCGGCACGGCACACGAGCGGGATGGCTGCCAACACCACGCCAGGCCGCCTTTGTCTCCCCAGTGGCGATGTTTACACATCGCAACCAGACGTTGACTGCACACCGCTACACCAGGTACTCATTTGAGACCGAGTCGACCTGGGAGAGACAAGGGACCGGTTCAGATGTTTCGTCCCCGATGTTGGCCGCGAGCGGGAATCAAACTCGGGTACGCACGGGTTCGTAGCGCAGCGCGCTAACTGCTGCACCACCGCTCCCCGCTGCTAGCCGCTTTGTAGAGAGACGCGTGCAAGTGTCAGGAAGGTTTTCGTGGCAGCGGCAAGCGGGCATCATCATCCTGCAGCGAGCCGCTTCGTGAGCTTTGGAAATGATTCGGCAGCCCCGTGAGTTTTTTTTTCTCTCTCCCACTTACACACACACACTCTCTCCTCTCTCTCTTTTTTTAAAAGCGATCCGTCCCACCGTGGGTAAGGAGAGAGCCGGACGGAGCCGCCTGGTTGGTGAGACATGACGCCGGCGAGCGCTGCGCTCTGGGTCGCCGGGTCGGGCATCGCTCCCCAACATTCTCACCGACATAATTACAAAAAAGAAACGGTTGTGGTTTGTTGTTGTTGTTGTTATATCTCTATATATATTTTGTTGAGTCGATAAGCGAGCAAGCAAGCAGGCATACAAGGCAATAACTTCTTACCATTCGGCCATCCATAAAGCAAGTAACCTAGCCCTCCCCCCCTCTACTAAAGCTCTGCAGAGTGTCTACCCCCTAACCACACCCCACTATCCCAACAAAAAAAATATTGAGTACTGTGTTTAATAAATTCCTTCACATTTAATATATTTATCTAAGTTAATACATATACCTTTATAACATCACCGCTCTGTGAAACTAAAGTGGTCAGTTTACTGGAAGAATAAAATAACACGGCCGCACTTTCACTCTCGAGGGCTTGCATCTGAGTGTGATGTCCTGGTGGGATGTTGATGAGGTTCTGGTGGGATATCGGTGATCTTGTGGTTGCATAACAGCGTGGTTATGTTGACATATCGGTGGTGTTCTATGGGGATATCAGTATCGTTCTGGTGTGATATCAATGTGGCTGTGGTGGGATATTCCACACCTCCGATTAACGCGGCTGGCTACGTACGGTGCGAAATAAGTTCAAACATGCGTACATACACGTCGGCGATGTGTCCGGTGGGATATCAGTCGGCGGCCTGCGAGCGTTAACGTCCGCGCGTCCGCGTGCGACGCACGGACACAGACATTCCGGGACGCTGCCCCGTGAAGACAAATCAGAGGAACATGCAGCAATAAAACTTGACGTCCGTTTAAAAAATAAAAAAAAACCCAACGCTAACGTGAACAGTAAACGGCAATGATACGGCACGAGTGAAAACGACGACAGCAAATGCGAGGGCGGCGAAGAGGGCGACCGTTTCTCGACGAGCGCTGAAGTCGATGGCGCACTGCGAGCGTCGGACCGAAAGGCGGCGGCGGCGGCCACACTCAAGCGGAGAGAGAAGACTTGAAGCTCTACACGAACGGGGATGATAAAACGAGCGGCCGCCGCTGGCCCATCGCCAAGCGTTGTAGTGTGCGAGCCCTCGGCAAGTATGTGTACAATCCCAGGACGTTCCTTCTCCTCGTGTCGAGCGGGGCGCGAAGATAATCGCGTGGTTCCCACTCGTGTTGTTGTCATCAATCTCAAATATTTTATCAGGAAAGAAGACCCACCTGAGCTATGTAGCACTTTCTCAGAAGTGACCTGGCGATCACGAATGATAGCTCGATGAAGTGGCTTACCACCATGTGGACATTCATAGCAGCCAATTGTTCTAAACGCGTGTTGATCTAAACGTGGAGGGAACACCCAGAGGGACCCGAGAAAAGTCCACGCGACCACGGAGAGAACGATGCCAACTCCAAATATACAACAGGCGTCTGGGTCCGGGATCGAACTCACAACCTCCTGTATACCAGGCGAGGTAGTTAACATCTCGCCACCGTGGCGACATCAGGGCGATGTTAGATGCCCTGCCGCCCCCAGCCGCCCCTTCGTGAGACTCGAGATATTTCACGGCTACGCAGAATAAAATATTTATATTTCCATGCGTCGCAATTCCACCAACCTGCCAGTTCAAAGGTATAAATCAAGAGGCACAGGGCTCAGGCACACGCACACACTAATCATACTCAAGAGGAGAGTTCAGTCTTGAGAATAAAAGTCAAACAAATTAAAGGGGAAATACACGGGGCCCTTCAAAAGATTAAATGGTGCAAAAAAAGAATACGAACTCCCGGCCATTAAGTTCGAAAAGCAATGCTCTAACGCAATTGAGAGCTGTTCAGTTTGGCTTATCGCCTACTCTAATATAGGCAATATGCTTTTAAAAACATTTGTATAAAAAAAAACACCTTCGAAAGCTTTCCGGTCTAACTTGTGCATCTTCATGACACACAGCTATTCTCTTAATCCACATTCAATCGACCCAACACAGATCACAAATTCCACTTTCCTGTACACATCCTACACCTTCTCTCGTCTCAAATCTCCCCGCGAGCTTCCCCGCCCCCTGCCATCGTCTTCCAGTCATTTTGTATCTACATCGTCGCACACTTCTGGCACAAAAACAAGAAAAAAACCCAAACATAAAAGGGAAAAGTCCTGTACACATCGACGGCAGCGCAAAAACTGTGTGGACAGCGACACTGCCATCTGCTCAGAGCACCACACTGAAACACGCTGCATCCTCTCTCTGTGCCAACTGCCACAATCTGTGACCCAATTTGGACAAAGCTCAGAGTTAACAAAATTGCATCAAACGCGCACATACACGCGCACATGCGCACACGCACACGCGCGCTTTTTTGTCGTTGTTGTCGTTTCACTCGGCCGCCGACTCAACCTCGTGCAGGAGCTTGTAACGGACCTGGGGAAGGCCGGGAGTGAGTAAGAGATCGGGATTGGTCAAGGTTTCCCCAAACCGAGCGACCGCTTCGGAGAGAAGGAGGGCCCCCTTTCCCCTCAACGGACAGCGTAGGAGAGAATCTCCCCCAAGTGCAGCTGACTTCACCGGGGAGCGCCTACAGGAGGGGGCAGACTGAGCCACAGGACGATCGCCGCCAAGCTCAAATCCCGACCTCGCCAGCGCGCACGGGAGTCGGCGGCGAACCGCGGGAGTCGGCGCAATCAAAGCAGGGCGGGGGGCATCCGCGGTGCCTTCGAACCGCCATCCACGTTTGGCCGCAAGGGGCACGTAGGTAGGCACGAGGGTTAAACACGCGCACGCACGTACGTGGGTACGCGCGCAGGTGTACGGGGGGAGGGGCAGGCGTGAAAATAATGCGCCAGGGCTCAACGGAGGAATCATCGACGGAAGACGGAGGAGGACGGAGGGGTGGCACGTGGGGGCGAGGACGTCGCCATCGGCGCTCGAGGCGGTGGACAAAACACGGGGAGCAGCGCGAAGCACAAACAAAACAACGCCGCAGGGCCAGATGCGCGACCGTCACTGTAAGGCATCTCACGGGCGCGCCACCCTCGAGGCCCTCCCCCACACACAGTCACCGTTAGCCGCGTCCCACCAGAGTGTTTTGATGAATAAAAACTTAGAAAAAAAACGATAATAATTTGGCTTTTTTTTTTCGCGGCCGACTGGGAAGTTTTTTTTTTCTCTTGCCGGCTTGCGGTGATTTACAGCGCGCCCGGCGTGCAGTGCAGCGTGAAACGTCCCGAGTGCGCGCGTTACACAGAGAGCACCGTCATTATGGGGGCAGGGGTGAGGGGGGATGAGTGGGGGTCAGGGGTTGGTGGGCCGGTGGGTGGGTGTGGGTTTGTACAATCCGTTTTATTTTCATTTCTTCTTGCCGAACAGGCTGAAGCGCTTTTCCTTGTCCTTCTCGCGCTTGCCGGGGCTGGCGTCGCCGGCGCCGCTCACGGCCGTCGCAGGCAGCGTCTGCGCCCGTGCCACGTCGCCTGCACCGTCGCCGCCGCCACCGCCGCCGCCGGCGCCGCCGCTCGCCTCCGCCGGCACCCCGACGATGGCAGTGCTCACGCTGTTGATCCAGCCGTTCATCTCGTCCTGCAATCGCACAAGAGGCAGAGACACCCCGCACCCCCACGCCAACCGTGTGGCCTTTAACAGACTGTCAAGTGCGGTTAGCGACCACCTGCCCCTAATGGTGGACATCTGTGAAAAAGAGCTTCATAGCTCATCGGATTTCCTCCAGCATCAATAAATATTCTGATTCTGTAGGGCCAACACCGCACTCGAGACCGTGGTGTGGCCTGAACCGCACCCGACCACCTCCATTTGTCTACCCAGTGGCGATGTTTACATGTCGCAACACGTACTCATTTAGGGCTGAGTTGGCCTAGGGGAGGCCCAGAATAGGTTGAGATATTCGTCACTGGCGTTGGTGGCCATGAGTGGGAACCGAAACTGGGTCGCCGGGTTCGTAGCACAGCACGCTAACCACTACCGCTCCCCACAAATGTAGACATACCCACAAGCCCACATTCACGCACACGGATATGTGCACACACACACACACGGACACAGAGACATTCAAATTTGTACACAGACACGACCAGATTTGTACACATACATACATGCATGCAAAGACGAACAAACGTGCACACACACTCACACATACGCACACTAACACCGTACTGATGTCACAGTGGTGCCAATCCCAGAATTGCTGCGAAACCACACTGCGTGGCATTCCGAAAGCCAAATTACAGGAGGTCACATGACATACCTAAGCATTATGCGTGGCAAAGTCTTGCCATCGAAAGGCAATAGGACTAGTCCAGATAACATGTGTAGTGACATTGAATGAGTCACTGTAGGGGTAGCAGCCCGTTCTACCAGTTGCACCTGTGGGCAAGGCACGGGGTGCGGGGCCGAGGGCGGAGCCTTGCCACGTTCGGGCGGATAAAAGGCGTGCTCCGACTCACAGTCGGGGCTGCTGCGATCTGGAATGGAACTCGTCGTGCTGCCGTCGTCGTCGTGATTTTCGCCCTCTTCAAGCTGTGGATCTGGCAGCGTGTTGGCTGTCCCGACTCGGTATTTAGTTATCCCCCAAGTCTGTGAGTGCCTCCTACTAGTGTCCATGAATTATCACACTACACATGTGTGGAGTGCCGAAGGCTCATTGACTGCACATCACAGGAGAGACCCAGGTGCTATGGGTTAAGTCGGGGCTCGGCAACCAAAATAACAAGAGCCATTTTTTTTTCGAATTCGGTCAAATAAAATCAATATTTCAAGAGCCGCGATGCACGTGGTGAATAAGAAGATGGTGGTCCTGAATAAATAACCTCAGGAAGCGGTCCTTAAAGAGGCGTACGAGGCTCCGAAGCCGCAGATTACCGCACCCCTGGGTTAAGTGGTGAGAAGCTGCTGCATAGATACACCCCGGTAGTCATATCTGCAGCTCTTACTCTCCGCCATAACAATTATAATCGCGATAATCTAAACTTGCAATGCACCGCCACAGCGGCACAGTCTACGCCCGCCCTCTAAGCGGGAGAACGACCCCGAGGCGCGGGGAACCACAGACGAGCGGGAAGGGGCAGCAGCAGCAGCCACGCGAGGAGCCGGCGCCACCAACTATTCCCTATGCTCTGCAGTCCTCTATATATGGGGACATTTGTCAGCAATTCAACGGGCGTGTATGCATGTGGAAGGAAACCGGAGTGCCCGGGAAAAAAACTATTGCATGGAGGGGGCATCGTGCCATTTGTAAGTTTGAACCCAACCATCGGTATGATCCACACTTTACCTGTAAGGTCAACAACGAGTGTGCAAAATCTTGGGACCAGTAAAATTTGTTTAAATATGACTCGAAAGGCCAACCAGTGAAAACTAGAATATGGACATGTACAAAAAAAATGTAAAGCTCACATCAACAACATGTAAGCAATATGAACTTACATCATCCTTGGCTTGGAACAGGAATTCATTTCCATCCTCGAGCCTGCGAGTGACAATCACACGTGCATTCGTTACTTCGCCAGCCGTGTGCGTGTTTCACCATCCTTCCTTCCTCGGCCTCTCTCGTCGCCCATTGAACCACGTGATTAGAGATACTCGTGTGGTGCTCGTGTGCACAATGCGAGCCCTGGACATTGTCAGGAAATTCCACGTTTCTATGGCAGGCCACTCAGTTAAGTCTTGAACACGTTGTGGACGGTAGGTGGCAAGGAGGAATATGAATTGAAATTTAATTCCATAATTGCTTTACAAAAAGGTTCTCGTGTACCACTGTCAAGTAGCATTTGCGCAGACTGGTTCACGCTGTTAGCCAAAGTGTAACATTAGCATGCAACTAAAGCAGCTTTTGGCTAGCCATCAAACAAAAACGTCACTGCATCGCGGCTTTCAGATGCGCTTCTGCGGCATATTAAGAAGCCACTGGAGTTATGCACTTTAAAAAATATATTGAAAACTATTTTTTATATAACTGCTTTTTGTGTTTAGTTTGTTGTCCTTCCCCCGCACCTCCAATTAGCACGGTTAGCTACGTACAGTGTAAAATAAGTTCAACATCTTATCTTAATGTAATTTATATAGCACCTTACAGGTAATGTTATCCATACATATAACTAAACCCTAAATAATACTGGTCAACAAAAAAAACATTTTTTTTCTGGCCTGGACTTTTGCAGCTGTTTTAGACTAATTTCAGGGTGCTGATTCCAAATCTGATCTCAGATTTGCTCTATCACATCATTTTTATGCTATCGGCATACCCCATTTTCATTGATTTTACCAAAAATTAACTCTGTCACTTATGATTGCAAGTTGTTGCGAGACAGTGACTGCTTTAGTGTTATAATATGGTGCTGTATTTTTAGGATAGTGTGTTTATAATATAATTTTATTTAGATATCTACATTTATTTAATATTTTTCTTCTGCAGTTTTTATTGAAAATGCACCCCAAAATTACCTTAAAACCGTTGGAATACCTTATGCCAGAAAAAGTGTGTTGACCAGTGTTATCAACGCTTGAGGTGGCCAGGTAGCTCGAAGGAGCTCGGAGCCAGCACTGCCGAGATCCTGGGTTCGAAGGCAGGTTTGTGTAGCCGCCCGTGATTAAACCGAGTTGTAAACCGAGTCGATGGCTTCAGCCCGGTCTCCAACAATTTGCACGCGCAAAACAAAAAATAATAACATTCAATCCTCTTTGCGGCAGCGTTATGGAACGCACAGCCAATGCAGCGTCGCAGACAACGTTCGCTTGATCCAACCGTGAGACTGACAACAGGGCTGTGGGCAGGTGACGTCGTTACCGCCACTCAGTGGTGAACGGCGATCGTTGTTGTCGTTGTTGTCGTTGTTGTCGTTGTGGCCCGGCAGTAACGCGTTCGCCGCTTTTGTTTTGCGGAGGGTTTTCAATATCAAATCCGGCGAGCTGCCCTGGTTATTATTCCTGCGGGTGTATTCGCCGAAAAAATACGTCGCTGCCGCTTGACGGTGGACGATAGCAGACGTTCAAGATCGCCAGACGTCATTCGAACAGAGTAAGCCAAGTGCGTGCCGGCGTCGTGGCTAGCCAGGAAGCCGTCTCGTGGCCAGCAGACATTGGCATTTAGCTCCTGAGCTTATTGCTGCAATCATGCGCAAGAACAGAATGGCAGAAGTTGTAACTTGCTGACCCACCCCTTACCGGACACCTGGGAAAAATAACTTAGTAGCTCATCGGATTCCCCCTGTCTACATTTTAAAACATTCTCATTCTGAAAGTTTTTCAAATTTGAAAGAATTAAACCCAAATTGGGATTACACACGGCAGTGGCGGCAGCGGCGGCGGCGGCAGCAGCAGCGGCAGCAGCAGCGACAGCAGCAGCAGCGGCAGCGGCGGCAGCAGCGGCAGCGGCGGCAGCAGCAGCAGCGGCAGCAGTGCCCCCGACGGTGAAACTGCCGCAGACCGTGCCTGCGAGACACGGCAGCGCCATCCTACGTGACGGCGGTAGCCCCAGCGTTCGCGCCGTGGGAACGACGGCGCGAACGCCCGAGCGCGCTCGGTCGTCGTGCGTGTGTCCAGGTTACCCAGCCCGTGGGCCCGAGGCCCCGGGCGGCACTCACCGCAGCTTGAAGACATGCTTGCGCTTCTTGTAGTCGGATGCCACCTCGCACGAGGAGCCCGACAGAGGTAGGGGGATCTCGCTGTGAAACGTGACCCCCGTGCCGGCGCTCTTGGGGTCCTTGTAGAAAGCGATCTGACCGGTGCTCAGCACGCAGTACACGTTGTTCCATGACCTGCGGGACAGGGTCAGCGGTGGCTATGAGATGTTATCTCCCTCGCCTGCTATGCAGGAGGTCGTGGGTTCGATCCCGACCCTGTGTATTTGGAGTTTGCACACTCGACCCGTGGTGATCGCGTGGATTATTTGGAGTTTGCCCTCCACGTTTATAAAACATCCGCTGAGATTATTGGGCTGCCACTATGAATTCCCACGTGCAGTGATGATGATGATATAAGCCACTTCGATGATGAGCTATCAAGTGTGGCCAGGTAGCCTCTGAAAAAGAGCTAATAGCTCAGTGAGCTTTACCTGGTAAATAAAATAGTAAAAATCGAAAGTGAGGGTTAGGATGACCTTCGTGTCTCATCCAGAGACTGGATTCAAATTAATTAAGTCCGTTTCAACTCGATGCCGGTATTAGTTGTCTGTAAGGCAACATGAAAACCCGTGAGAGACGGGCCACCACTGGAAGGCTACCCTCTCTCGCATCAGAAACGTCAGCAGACCGATATGCACATCGCCATCATGAACAGAAGATTAAAGACACAGGCCACAGGAGTGTGATTGTGGCCATGCAACCAAAACTATGGGCCACTGTAGTAAACCACTGTAGTCTGCGCACATCCAATGGAGGAGGAACACAATCCATGAACTCTCTCGCCACGCGTCATTCGAGTAGAGAAATCAAAGCGTGTGCAGGCATTGTGACTAGCCACAAAGCCCTTTCGTGGCTAGCAGACCTCGACATTGACATTTAAACAAAGCTAAACTATTTTAATTTTACCAGGTAAGGCCCACTGAGTTATATAGCTCTTTTTCATAAGCAACCTGGCCACAAATGATAGCTCAACGCTTATCATGTGAAAATGTATAGCCGCCAAATACTCTAAACGCATGCTTCTAAATGTGGAGGACGCGGAGAACACGTTCCTTCGGAGTGGGCAGGTAGGAACTTGGTTGGACAGCGCATTCGTGCACGACAGACAGACAAATAATCCCTGGTGGGCAGTGTGGAACCTGTTGTTCCTACCTGTATGTATACAAGATAACTTGACTTTAGGTAGCCAGGCAGACAGCCCCCTGAACTATCGCCCCCCCCCCTCCCTTAGGTCCCTCCCCCCTTAGGCCCCTCCCCTGACCCCCTTTCCCTTAGGCCCCTCCCCTGACCACCCCCCCCCCATATCCTCAGGCCCCTCCCCTGACCCCCCTTCCCTTAGGCCCCTCCCCTGAGCACCCCCCCCCCCCCATATCCTTAAGCCCCTCCCCTGACCCCCCCTCCCTTAGGCACCTCCCCTCTCCGTACCCGGCAGTAGGTCTCCACCAATCAAAGAGCTGTTTACCTGACTCCCCCCTTCCTTAGGCCCCTCCCCTGACCCTCCTCCCTTAGGCACCTCCCCTCTCCATACCCGGCAGTAGGTCTCCACCAATCAAAGAGCTGTTTGTAAGGTCTCCACCAATCAAAGAGCTGTGTGTATTATATATTATGTACGACAGACAAACAGTCAGACAGACAGACAGCTAAATAATCCCTGGTGGGCAGTGTGGAACATTGTTCCTCCCTGTAAAAATCCATGACCATCATGCGCAAGGATAGAACAGAAGCCAGAGACGCGGAGATGGGAGTTGGTGAATCATGCAGAAGTGGAAAAATTATAATTATTAGCTGCCTTGAAGCGTCTCACTCATGCCACTGACTGGTGGAAGGACTTTAACTGGAGGAAGCTCTCGGGATATTTTTGGACTTTGAAGAGGTGGGAGCATCCGCCGCAGGTGAACTGGCTTTCCACAAACCGTGGTGTAACCGTTCATACTCTGCGTGACCAGAGGCGGAGGGGGATTTAAAAAACTGTCACCGTCGTTTCAACTTCCACGCTGGGAGATAGAACCGTCGACCCCGAGGATTGTGAGTCCAGTGGGCTCAACATATATTATTATGGCAACATCCCCTTTATAATAATAATAGCAGCAGTGGAATTTATTTCACTTTACGCATCGCCTGCCCAAGGATAGTTCCTATAAACGTTGAAAATAAAAAGGTCCCTTGTTTTGTCTACATAGACTGTTGGGGCCAGTGCTTTCAATGGGCGTTATGGCGGGTGGCGAGATGTTAACTTCCTCGACTGGTATGCAGGAGGTCGTGGTTTCGATTCCGACCCTGACACCTGTATATTTGGAGTTTGGGTGTCTCTCTCTCTCTCTGTGGTCGCGTGGATTTTTCTCCGGGTCCTCCAATTTTTCACTCCACATTTAGAAACATGCAATTAGAGAAGTTGGCTGCTGTAAAATTCCACATGGTAAGCCACTTCGTTGAGATATAATTTGTGAAAAAGATCTATATAGCTCAAGTGGAACTTAGATGGTACAATATAAAAAATAGTGTAGTTTAGTTTTAAGGCGAGCATGGCACATGAGAGGGTGATGTGGCCAGCACCACGCCTGGCCACCTTTGGTCTACACACCACAGAAGGTACTGCTTTGAGGCTGAATCAACCTAGCGGAGGCCCAGGACCAGTTCAGATATTTGTCACTGATGTCAGCCATATCTGGGAATCAACACTCTGGTCGCTGGGTTTGTAGCGCAGTGCGCTAACCAGAGGTGGGACAAAGTCATTGTTATGCAAGTCCAAGTCGAGTCTGAAGTCATCAAATTCATGACTCGAGTCTGACTCGAGTCCAAGTCACATGACTCGAGTCCACACCTCAGAGGTGGGACAAAGTCATTGTTATGCAAGTCCAAGTCGAGTCTGAAGTCATCAAATTCATGACTCGAGTCTGACTCGAGTCCAAGTCACATGACTCGAGTCCACACCTCTGGCGCTAACCACTACGCCGCCACTCCCCAAAAGCATGAGCATGCAAGCACGCCAACAAGCACACGCACACACACAAGACAAAAAGCCCCGTATAGCCTCAAGAGTGCTGTTAGCAAGCGCCTAAGAAGGCTATCATGGCACATGACGGGGTTCGTGGCCAGCACCACACCCGGCCGCCTTTGTGTAAGTTTTTACACAGAGTAGCAGGTACTCATTTGAGGCTGAGTCGACATCAGGAAGGCCCAGCACCGGTTTAGATAACCCAGGCCGCCGTAATTGCAGCACAAGGCGCTAACCGCTACACCACCACTTCCCATAACAAAGACAAAGATCCCCCGTATAGCCTGTAACAGACTGTTAAGGCAAACGCTGTTAGCGAGCACCTATGAAGGCCAGAACGGCACACGAGGGGGTGGGTGGCCAGCACCATGCCCGGCCGCCTTTGTCTCCCCAGTGGCGATGTTTACACACCGCACCAGGTACTCATTTGAGTCGACATAGGGGAAGCCCAGGACCGGTTGAGATAATCGTCGCTCATTTTGGCCGTGAGCGGGAATCGAACTCGGGTCGCCAGGTTCGTAGCACAGCGCGCGAACCGCTACAACTACCGCTCCCCACACACATTCACACACAGACACACACATTCACACACACACGCTCGCAACGCCCGCACCTGCTGTTGGCCTTCTTGTTGCTCGCCTCCCACTCGTGCTTGCGGTGCAGGAAGCCCTCCGTGGGCAGCATGAGCACCTCGCTGGGCTTGGCCGGGAGGCTCGCCGAGGTGTGCGGCGCCAGCGGCGGCGACGCGAGGCCCCTCCTCTCCCCCTCGGGCGATGGCGGCGGGGGGCTCTCCCTCGCCCTCCGCGCCCGGCCTTCGGAGCCGTTCGCCAGCCCGTCCGCACCTTCCGCGGCCGCCTGGGTCCGACACGGGGAAGCGCGGGTGGCAGGGAGGGGTGTTACTGAGGCGGCGTGGCTTGCGACGTCATTCTCGCGGCCGGAAAGGATTTTCCACTGAATGCACGTGTGCATGCGTGTACGTTGAACTCGTGCCGTGCCGTACGTGGCCACGCGTGGCAATCGGCGTTTAGCACCGCCGGTGTTTGCTACAGAGTTTCAGGCAAACTCTCATCATAGGCTCGCGGAAGGCGAGATGTTAACTCCAACGCCTGGTATGCAGACGGTCCTGGATTCCATGCAGACCCTAACGCCTGTTGTATATTTGAAATTCGTGTGTCTCTCTCCCCGTGGTCGCGTGGGTTTTTCTCCGGGTCCTCCGATTTTTTTTCCTCCACCACATTTAGAAACATTCGTTTGGAGTATTTGGCTGCTATAAATTTCTGCGTGATAAGCCACTTTGTTGAGCTATCGATCGTGGCCATCCCACGTCTGAAAAATATTTATATAGCTCAGTGGGCCTTAGCTCGTAAGATCAAAAAAACATTGTTTAGCTTAGTTCGGATGTCCCCATGAAAGACGGACAGATGGACAGCTATTGCAAGAACGCTGTTAGACTTCGTTGGGAAGCGTTGTTTATGTGTTCGTGAAATAAGTAATTAATCTGTTAAGCAATATTAAAAGACTGTGGTGACGCTGACGCGCAAGCACGAATCTAACCGCTCGCTGCGTTTACGATCAGCACCGCCTCTTGAACAAGAAAACGATATGATCACACGAAATGTCCGTAAGGGTGTTCGACGCGCACGGCAGGGTTAGTGTTTTTTGGGGCAATGACCAACGGCCACGAAGCTCTCACCTTTGCCGACTCGACTTCGACCGCCGCGACTCCGTTTTGCACGGCATGCGCATCTCCAGCTTCTCTGTTGTTTGATGGGAAAAAACGAATGAAAAATGTAATTAATCAAAATCCAGATTTAGGACATTCAGAATATTTACTTGTATTTATACCGGAGGAAACCGATTAACTTTAAAGCTCTCATTCACAGTTGCCCAGTCTTTCAGAGATATCCAATCCACGGCCAAAGAACGGACACCGTGGTACCGCACGCGACGATGTCGCTTCGACGCGCGTTACGTCCATGTTGTGCCCTCGTGTTTTTCCGCGCATTGATTAATCAACTGCTGTCAATACGACACGATGTGTTACGCGCGAGCGCTTTCCGTCGATAAAGCAGCGCGCGGTGGGCCTGGCTGCCCGGCGGGCGAGCTTTCAACCGCGCCGATTTTGGCGACTGACGCAGGGTGTCCGGCTCTTCTGGTCCGTCGATGAATGGGCGAGCCAACCACGTTACCCGCAGACACAGACGGACAGTCACAGGCAAGACAGTCACAGGCAAGACAGTCACAGGCAAGACAGTCACAGGCAAGACAGTCACAGGCAAGACAGTCACAGGCAAGACAGTCACAGGCAAGACAGTCACAGGCAAGACAGTCACAGGCAAGACAGTCACAGGCAAGACAGTCACAGGCAAGACAGTCACAGGCAAGACAGTCACAGGCAAGACAGTCACAGGCAAGACAGTCACAGGCATTCGGTCTAAGCTGGAATAACCGCGATGAGCTAATGACGATACAGAGGACCTTTGGTGTGTTGTGGTTGTGTGTGTGTTGTGGTTGTGCGTGTGTTGTGGTTGTGCGTGTGTTGTGGTTGTGTTGTGTTCGTGGTTGTCCCTGTGTCGTGCGTACAGCGTACATCTGTAATCTGGCGCTCTGGAGGGTGGGGTTCATGGTTCGTGCAGAGGTCATCACCCACCTACGAGATGGCCTGTATGTGGCGGTACAGGAAGTAGGTTCTTTGCCAACATATGCAGATTTTTGGGCGTTTTACCCTCATGTGCTTGTGTGTGTTTTTTTTTCCACCACATCAGCTCCCTACCATAATTCAAAAGAACCCAATAATAAATGGGTTAAATATCGCAGCGGGGGGAGGGTGGTGGGATGGTGCATTGGTTCGCGCACTCCGCTATGAACACGGCCACCCGAGTTGGATTCCTATGGTTGGACAAATTCGTTCCGAGTGATATCTGAATAGGGTCTGGGCTACGCCCATCACCGGTAGAGGCTGACCAGCGTGACGCATGGCCAAACATGACCCCATGGCCGATACAGAGTGGGGGAGGCCTTCATCCAGCAGTAAATTAATAATGATGTAATATTCATAATTTAAGCTTGTAAAACGCGCACAAGTATGATGTTTTTCTTTCTGCTTACCTGGTCTGGAATTCCTCGCTGGGTTGAGGAGGTGAGAGTCTCTTCCTCTCCAGGTCATCCTCCTCCTCCTGCCGACGACGCAACTCCAGCAGCTCCAGCTGAAGAGGGGACAGCAGAGAAACAGAGGTAAGAAACCATCGAGTCCCCGAGTCGGCACTCTGCAGGAATGTAATCACTGTGGATGGCATCCTCCGTTTCTACGTGATCCACGAACCCCGCCGGCATGTTTCCAGATTGCAAGCCTTTGGCATCAATCGGAAAAAAAAATGACGTGCATCGATTTTTCCATTAAAGTTGATTCTCATGCTTACACCAGACGCATTGAACCGTGAGAGTATATTTGTGTTGCGTGTGAGCAACTAGCACGCGCAATTGTACGTTATTCCACTGAATTGTGCGGGATTGCGTGCAATTGTGAGATTTGCACGAGACTTAATAGGATTAGCATGGGATTTCATAAGATTGCGCGGGATTGCACGGGATTGCGCAGGATTTCGCGGGATTGCTCAGGATTGCACGGGATTGCACGGGATTGCGCAGGATTGCTCGGTATTGCGCGGGATTGCTAATGATTGCACCGGATTGCACAGGGTTGCACGGGATTGCGCAGGATTGCTAACTATTGCACGGGATTGCTCAGGATTGCTCGGGATTGCACAGGATTGCGTGGGATTGCTCGGGATTGCGTGGGATTGCTAACGATTGCACGGGATTGCTCAGGATTGCTCGGGATTGCACGGGATTGCGCAGGATTGCTCGGGATTGCTATCAATTGCACAGGATTGCGCAGGATTGCGTGGGATTGCGCACGAGATGGTGAGCGTTCGCGCGAGCTTGAGCGCGCGATCGCGCACCCACCGTCGTGAGTTTCTGCAGCGCCCCGAAGCGCTCGTCCCAAGTGAGCGCCGACTTGTCGAAGGCCTCGTGCCGCTTGATGAGCTTCTCCACGTCGTCCACGCTGAGGCCAAGCTCGCGGCTCGACAGGTACGGCTCCTGGCTCAGCAGCCACGTCTCGGCCACGGACGCGTCGCGGGCAAACTGGTGCACCTCCAGGACTGGCGTGGCCCACGACGGGACGCGCATTCAACAACGACAGCGACGGCAACAACGGGAATAACGTGACATTAATAAAGAAATCAGAACGACAAGGCCGATTTGCAGCACGCGCAGAATGCATGCGGCGAGTCGCCAACGTGAGCCAGAGGCACGAAGGCATGTTTAAAAACGAGCGGCTTTTACGAACAAAAAATATAAACGCTGGAATACAAAACCCGGTTTACATCGGGAATGTGTTCCCGAAAAGGTGCGAGGACGAATATATCGAAACGACGTCAAATCGAAGCGATTCACGGGGTAGTCAGGTGGTGGAAGCGAAGGCTGAGAGACGACGGATAACGGGAAAGGACGGATGACGTTGCCGTCAGCGACGTGAACGTGGGGTCGAGGCAACGCAGGTCGAGTAGCGGCGCTAATGATCAAGTGACGAGGTACTTGCGAAACGACGTCAAAGGGAGAGACGTGAATCGGGGCATCACTGCATTTGTTTGTTCTAGATTTGAAGTTCGCGTGACTGCAAGGATTCATACTCTTTGGTTTTTTCGGTAAAGTCACGTAGGTAAAAAATTAAAATAAATGAAAACAACTAAATTAAATCAAGACGTTTGCGTTGCGCTCGAACGTCGTGATTTAATTTAGTTGTTTTCATTCATATAAATTTTTTACCTACGTGACTTTACCGAAAAAACCAAAGAGTATGCATTTGTTTGTATTATCGTGAAGTCGCTTCATAAGGTCAAGACAAATCCTTCACACTCACCATCAGCAGCTGTGATCTACCCACTGCTGGGTGGAGACCCACCGCCCCAAGCCGTTGCCATCTCTCACGGGAGGGCAATACAAACGTTCCATTTGGCTTCCGCACGCACGTGACCTGAATCCATCTCCGCGGCGGGGACTTCCTGCAAGCTGCCACTTCCTCGTTGGTTTTGACCACCGGTGTCGATTGTGACTCGCATCGTGCCCAGTAACGAAGCCAACTCCCTTACCCTCATGCAATTGGTCACGTCACGTTCAGCCCTGTGTTCCCCTGCATGCCTCTCACTGTATGTCCAAGAGTTCTTAGCGCCAAGGTGGCGAAATGTTCACTACCTCGACTGGTATGCAGGAGACCGTGGGTTGGATCTCGACCCCGGCGCCTGGATATTTGGAGTTAGTATGTTCTCTCTCCCCGTGGGGGTCGCGTGGAATTTTCTTGGGGTCCCTCAGTTTTTTCCCTACACATTTAGAATCAACGTGCGTTCAGAGTATTTGGCTGCTATAAATTTCGATAAGCCACTTCGTTGAGCTTTCATTTGTGGCCAGGTCGTTTCTGAAAAAGAGCTACATAGCTCAGTGGGCCTTACCTGATAAAAATAAAAAATTGTAAAAAATAAAAAAAATTGTACTGGCAGACGTGAAAAGCAGTGGCACCAACTTTGGGTCACTGACACAAGCCACGAATAACTCAACAAGAACAAAAATAATCAGACGTGACACGTCTCCTTCACACATCTCCACGTCAAATATACAACCATTTCTTACATGATCCATCAGCCACACGGCCACATCATAGAGAGAGGGGGCCCTTTAGAACAACGGTCCCCAACTTTTTTGGCACCAGGGACGGGTTTCGTGGAAGACGATTTTTTCACGGACTGGTGGGGGGGGTTCATCATTGGGTCTTTCCCCCTTTTCAAAGAAGCTCTCCAGCGACGTTTGTTTTTTACTCATTTTAGCTACTAGGGGCTAGAGCTTGAGGGCTTACCAACACTGTGACTGAGACAGGTGCGGCCCAGTTCCTAACAGGCCACGGACCGGTACCGGTCCGCGGTCCTGGGGTTGGGGACCCCTGCTTTAGCCTGTTAGATCGGCAGTTTACGAGCATTGAGCCAAGCAAGCCGGACTCGAAACCGGTCCAGAGTCGGCTCGTCTTGAGTCGATGCCGTTGAATTAATGCACTCCCGGAAGGCCGTGCGGCTGGTGGGTCATGTAAGAAATGTCAGGTGAGGATCGTAACCGGAGCGCCGAGGTGACATCGCGACCAACGCGGCGAGCACTTACTGAGCTTGAGCCACTCCCATCGCTCCTCCCACTTGTCAATCATCTCCTTCCTCTTCTCCGTCAGCTCCATCAGTTTCTCACTGATCTGGAGTCACCCAAGGAGGGGTCGGGGGTGGCACGCATTCATGTAGAAAAGTTAACTTAAGAGACAGCCACGCCCGGCCACCGTTGTCTTCGCATCGCACGAGGTACTCATTTGACACTGGTGTTGGCTGTGAGTGAGAATCGAACTGCGGTCGCTGGGTCCATAGAGCAGCCCACTAACAGCTACAGAGATTAAAAAAAACACATAAGCACACAGACACTCATCATCGCTGGCTTAACGAGCACCGGCCCTGGGTGCGGACGAAGCATCTAGCGCCGGAACAGACGCCTCTAGTAGCGATGGGACGGGGGGGGGGGGTGGGGGGCGCTGGCTCACAAGGGGGGGGCGGAGGATGGGAGGTGGGGGGTGGGGGGCTCACCTCTGCGGAAGCGAAGTGCTGGCGCTGCAGCAGCGCCTGGCCCAGCTCGACGCAGGCGGCGAAGCTGTCGTTGCGGGTGTCGATCTCGGCCTTGATGCCCTGGTGGCTGTTCATGAGCAGCTCCACGGACGACACATCCCTGGGAAGGAAGATGGGCACGGCCACCAACGCCACCGGTCACCCATCGCCGTCTCCGTAAGTCAGCGTCGTAATTTTCATTGGTGCCATCGGAGTCATCGTCGTCGCTGTTCTCATTGTCGTATTTGTCATCCGAGGTCACTGGGTTGAACCGGCACCGCCAAGATGCTGGGTTCAAGTCCGGGTATCAGCCACCTGTGATTAAACCATATTCTATAGTGTCGTGAGACGATGGTCTAAGGTCAGACATCAAAAAAAGTAGATTTTGTGCATAATTTGGGTAGATTTCAGCTCTGCGAATTTAAATTATCGAATGGAATGTTTATCTCGATAGCAGGGCTGGTAAGAAAGTGCTGCCCCCCAAGCATGGATACAAGTTTTGTATCATCTGCTTCCGCAGACCATTCTCTAACGCGGGGTGATGCGCCTCCTCTTTGAAGGTTCCAAGTGGATTCTTTGTCGCAATTCCACAATCAGGATAAGGATAAAAAAAGCAGGATACAATTGAGGAAAGGGACAATAAAATATTGCACAAAACGTAAGACTTGCGATACAGGCCTGTCCAATTGCGAGCCTCCATCAAAGTAAAAAAAGTTGGAATTTAAACTATTAACAATATTAATTTCACATGGCAGATTTACAGACCGTGAAGGGACACCACTTAATTCTGGGTAAGAGTGGCACCTTGATGCGACTCAAATTGGCGTGACTCAAATTGAATTTGACCTGAGCTATTGCACACAACCGTGAAAACCCACGACTCACGATGGAACAATAGCAAACACGCAAACGCGACTGACACTCTCCACAACAAAGTTCCGCACGCTCACACACGCGCGTACGCACGCACGCAGACACACATGCTCACACACGCGCGTACACACACACGCACAGACACACACGCTCCCTTGCTCACACACGCGCGTACGCACGCACACACAACAACCACTGCCATTCACCACTAAGTGGTGGTGAAGTCACTATGGCGCTTGTGCCAGGCTATGTGCCCTCACACATGTACAACAAAGACAAAGATCCCCCCCCCCGTATAGCCTTAACAGACTTTTAGGGCAAGTGCTGTTAGCGAGCACTGATAAAGGCGGCCGTCATGGGACACGAAAGGGGGTGGGTGGCCAGCACCACCACACACGTACACGCAAACGCTCACTCGCTCAAACACGCGCGCACACGTGCACTCGCGCACACCCGCCGCACTGACCGGGGGCTCTCCTGCGCGTCGATCTGTCGCCGCACGCCCTCCATCCAGAGCAGGAGGTCGCGCACCATGCGGAAGAAGCGCAGCTTGTCCGCCGTGTCCACGAGGCGCACGCGCCGCTCGCCGCACGCATCCAGCAGCGCCCGCCACGCCTCCGCCACCTCGCGCTCGCGCCGCGCGATGTCCTCCGCCTTCTCGCCCGCGTACGCCGTCTGCAGCCGCGCCGCGTCCTCCTCGATCTGCTTCACCTGCTCGAGCGCCGAGACCGGCAAGCGAGCGACGGGGGGGGGGGGGCCGAGGGGGAATGGAGAGGAGGGTGGTGAGTGGGGGGGTTAGGAGGATGGAGGTCGTAAGCGGGGTTGGCAGACGGACGGGCCTTGGAGGGTCACAGGCGTGAAGATGGAAGAATGTCTACGATTAGCACGGGTGGCTGTGTACGGCAAGAAAGAAGTTCAAAGTTCACACGTACAATGTCAGAGACGCGGAGCCGGCAGCACTGCTCTCCTGCGTTGGAAACCGGCTTTCAGCCACCCGCGATTAAATCTGGGTCTCAAACGTAACGAGTGGATGGTCTCAAGCTGAAGTCGGCCTGCTAGACCCATATAGTCCAGCCCACGGCATCACACACACACACAGGCACAAAGACGAAGATCCTCCCGTATAGTCTTAACGGATTGTCGCGGCTGTTAGCGAGCAGCACCTATGAGAGCTCACTACCAAACCCCTCGGAACACGACGGGGGTGGGGGGTGGCCAGCACCACACCCGCACCAGTGGCGATGTAAACACACCGCACCAGGTACTCATTTGAGGCTGAGTCGACCTCAGGGAGGCCCAGGACCGGTTCAGATAATCGTCACTGAGGTTGGCCGTGAGCGAGAATCGAACTCGGGCTGCCGGGTTCGTAGTGCAGCGCGCTAACTGCTACACCACCGCTCCCCTCACACACACATACACACACGCGCACGCACACACACGCGCACGCACGCACCTGCGAGCCGAGCGTCTGGATGTCGTGCTCGAAGGCGGTGTGCACGCGCTGGAGGCTCTCCACCGAGTGCTGGTCGCGGCCCAGGTCGTCCGACAGCTGCTGGTGCTTCTCGGTGACGCGGCCGAGCACCTCGCGCGCCTGCTGCAGGAAGCGGTGCAGCTCGAACGACGCCGCCAGCACCTGCGGCGGAGGACGGCGGTTGTATAGTTGACGTGTCGCGTCTGATTATTCATGTCCTTGTTGAGTTATTCACGGCTTGGGCCAGTAACTCAAAGTTGGTGCCACTGCTTTTCACATCTGCCAGTACAATTTATTATATTTAAAAAAAAAATTTACAATTTTTTTATTTTTTACATTTTTTTATTTTACCAGGTAAGGCCCACTGAGCTGCATGGCCCTCTTTCAGCAGCGCCCTGGCCACAAATGATAGCGCAACAAAATGGCACTATCATCGTGTAGAAATTTATAGCAGCAAAATACTCGTATTTTAAAATGTGGGGGGAAAACCAACGCGTACCGGCCCATTTCCACTGCTGCAAAAGGCGTTAAACGATGATCGTCTCGGTTCATCTCAGTCCTTTAGCAATCTATTTGCAGAAATATAAACACCCACCATCCATAACTGCTGAAACTATTTTTATTTTACCAGCTAAGGCCCACCGAGCTATGTAGCTCTTTCTCAGAAGCGACTTGGCCACAAGTGATAGCCCAACGAAGTGGCTTGTCACCTGGGAATTTATAACAGTTAAATACTCTAAGCGCATGTTTCTAAATGTGGAGGGAAAAACCGGAGGACCCGGAGAAAATTCCACGCAACCACGGGGAGAGAGAGACACGCAAACTCCATAGATACAACAGGCGTCAGGGTCAGAATCGAACCCACGACCTCCTGTATACCAGGCGAGGTAGTCGACATCTCGCCACCGTGGTGCAAATGTAAGCGCACGGTATCACGGGGAGTGGAGGGAGGGAGCAAGGATGTGTGTGGGCGTTTGTTGTTATACCGTTGCTTAGGACAGGCACCAACAGCCCAGATTACCAAGCGCCCAGTAACAAACGGTACTACGTAAGGCACGACAGCCAAAGGTTTGTAGGTGTATTCAACTGGGCGAGGTTACATAAGCACTTCGGAAAAAAGGAGATGGGAGCGAATTCCAAAGTGGAGCAGTGAGCAGATAGAAGCGGAGAGAGAAGGGTCGTGACTTGCAGAGTGATGAGTGGGTGAGTGAGTGAGTGAGTGGATGGGTGAGTGAGTGGGTGAGAGGGTGAGTAGTTGGGTGAGTGAGTGCCTGAGTGAGTGGGTGAGGAAATTAGTGAACTGTTCAGTGTGTGAGTGAGTTAGGGGGCGTGTTGTTGTGACCTGCAATGGTTGAACACAGTGTGATGGATGGGACGAAACCGTCAGTGTCTCGTAGCCCGAGTACTCAACATGTTTGGAAGGAATCAACGAACGAACTTCAAAGGATTAGCAGCCATGGTAGGTAGCAATACAAGAGTGATTGGGAGGCGACTGACCACCGACAATGGGTGAATGAATCCATCATGGCTCAATAAATCATCCTCACTGCCCTACCGCAGCGCATCGTACCTGCGTGCGAGTGTCGATGAGCTCCAGGAGGTCGGCCCACGCCTCGTTGAGGCCGTCCTTCCAATCGGCGATGGAGGCGGCGTCGGGGTGGCCGCCGTCGATCATCTCGTCCACCATCTCGTTGGCGGCCTGCACGCGCTCCTGGCCGATGAGTACCGTGTCGCGTGCGAACACGCGGAAGCGGTCCTGCAGCATCTGTCCCGGGGGGAACGCGCGCGCACACACACGCAACGCAACATTATTTTTAACAGGTAAGGCCCACCGAGCTGTACAGCCCTTGTTCAGAAGCGACTTGGCTATCACAAATGATAGCCCGACGGAGTGGCTTATCACGTGGAGGCGTGATGTCGATTCTAGATGTGGAGGGAGACACCGGAGGACCCGGAGAAAAATCCACGCGACCACAGGGAGAGGGGCATGCAAACTCCAAATAAAAAGATAGATGAAGAGTTGGCCGGACGGTGGAGGTTACGCTGCTGCACGTGGCCTGTAACCCAGCACTGCGGAGGCAGCGAGGGTTGGTGGATCATTGTGCAAATGTTGTGAAACTCCCTCCTATACATGTGGGCTTCCAGGAGGCACCGTGTCCCTGGCTCGGCTGGAGAAGGCAGTACAGCGACTGGAATAATCTGTACGGTAATTAAGTGTTGACCCCCTCACGCGCATGTGTGGGTGAGTGTGCGTGTGTTTGGGGAGCGGTGGCGCAGCTGTAAGCGCGCTGTGCCGGAAACCCAGCGAACCGAGTTCGATTCCCGTTCTCGGCTAACAGCAGTGGCGATAATCCAGTTTAGTCCTGGGCATACCCTAGGTCGCCTCAGCTTCAAATGAATACCAGGTGCAGTGTGTAGACTTCGCCACTTGGGAGACAAAGGCAGCCGGGTGTGGTGCTGGCCACCCATTCCCTCATGTAACCGTGCATGCCTTCATTGGTGCTTGCTAACAGCACTTGCCCCAACAGTCTGTTCAGGCTATACGGGGGGAATCTTTGCCTTTGAGTGCTGACCGCCCACCCCCTCGTGTGCCGTCCCGGCCGCCATGGGTACTCTCGAACAGCACTTGCCGCAAAAGTCTGTTAAAGCTATACGGGCGATCTTTGCCTTCGCGCGCAATGGCGGAGCGGCGGGCGAGCCTCACCGTCACGTGGTCGTAGTCCTGGCCGAGCTCGTGCGAGCCGGCCACCACCTCGCGCTCGGCGATCCACTGCTCCAGGTCGTCCACCTCGCGGTTGAGCACAAACAGCTTCTGCCACTCCTCCAGGCGGCCGCGCCGCTCCTCCGCCAGGTCCTTGAGGCCCGCGTACAGCCGGTCCACTTGTGACTGCCGCAGCCCGATTCGCTCGCTGGCCACGCCGACGCCGGAGGGGGGGGAGGGGCGACGGGAGGGTGGCGTCGTCAAAGGGCGCGTCGATTATTCGAGCGGAGAAACATCAATTGTCTCACCGGATCCCGCGTGCAATTGCGTGTGTGTGTGCGTGAATAAATGGCGGTGGTGTGCCGGCCCCGAGTGTGATTCCCGCTCACGGCCAACACCATTGAGGAATATCTTAACCGGTCCAGGGCCTCCCTCTCTGGTCTATCACGTGACCTGCTGTCAGTCAGGGCTGCTGTAGCTGCAGATCCCCTTCCCTGCCAGCAGCCAACGCTATGCTGCTAAGTCACCAAATCTATATCGCTACACGTGCTAATCGGAGGTGCAGGGGAAGGACAACAAACTAAACACATAAATCAGTTTTATCAATCTAGATTTAAAACTGCGTTGCTCCAGTGGCTTCCTAATATCGTTCCAGACGGCCGCAGAAGTGCATCTGAAAGCGGGCGATGCAGCAATGGCGAGCCAAAAGCCGCTACTGCTGCAAGGATTACCGGAGTTTGCGTGACTGTTTATGCTCCTTGACGGGAAGTGTTTATCGATTGCGTTACCCACAATGCAATGCTCCATGAGATCGTGAAACGAGCTGTCGACGCCGTCTCGGTGGGCGGCGTGCCAGGCGTGTGCCCCCCCACCCCCCACCCCCTCCCTCCCCCCACCCCCCAACTCCTACCTCTCGGGGTGCCCGTCGGAGATGAGTCTCCGTGAGATCTCCGACAGCTGGTGCACGTTCTCTGCGTAGTCCTCCACGGCCTGCTCCAGGTTCTGGTGCTTCTTGAGCATGGCCACGGCGCTCTGCTCGTCCTGCTCTCTCACACGAGGCGCCGCGCGGACGACGGCCCCGGCACGTGAGCCATCTCCTAGCCAGAGGCATCGGGAAGACGCCCTCCCTCAGGTGCCCTCAGCATTGCTCAGCCGCACGTTACAGTGGCAAGATGTTTAAACCAAACCATTTTTATTCCACCAGGTAAGGGCAACTGAGCAGCAGTTCAACCGCCATGCAATAGATAGCGGTGGTGGCATCTACGTCTGCAGAACATGAAGAACTAGTGGCATCTCCAGGAAATCATACAACTTAGTGTCCATGCCATACAACATGTTTGGAATCGACAGGGGTAAAGTTGGACTTACGAAAAAATGGACTTACAAACAGACCTCTGGAACCTAACTCGTTCGTAAATAGAGGAGACCCTGTAGCTCTTTTTCCGAAACGACCTGGCCACAAATGATAGCTCAACGAAGTGGCTTATCAAGTTGAAATTCATAGCAGCCAATGAGCTTTCGGTACTCCTCACATGTTACTGGACCTGTCCTGTTGCCTTTTGATGGCGAGACTTAACTACCCATAATGCTTAGGTATGTCATGTGACCTCCTATAATTGGGCTTTTGGAACTCCACAAAGTGCCACTTTGCAGCCAACCCGGCACAGACACTGCCACTACGGTGTGTGTGAAGCTATTATTATAATTAACTCGCTCCACCCCGATACAGCTGCTTTAATCTCACCACGCAGGCGGACATCAGGATTGCAACAGAGGCTCTTGACGGCACCACTGACACGGCCATTGTGATCCGGCCCCTATAAGCTGCCCCAACTCAATGAAACATTTGACCTTGGGGGTTAAAAAAAAAAAAAACTGCCAAATCTCTCCCCGTCCTCACCTTGGCCTTCTCGTCGCCCATCATGTACAGCTCCTGCTCGCTCATCCACGCCTCCGCCTCGGCCGCGTCGAAGTAGTACTGCTGCGCCTGCAGGGCCTCCTGCAGGCGGCCCTGCCGCCGCTCGGCCTCCGTCGCCAGCCTGGCCCAGAGGTCGCGCAGCGTGCCGATGCGCTCGCGCACCTCGGCCGCGTCGGGCCCGCCGTCCGCCGCCAGCCGCTCCCCGCGCTCGCACACGTCGTGCACCCACGGCTCGTGGCCCTGCATCTCCTTCTGCAGGGTCTGGCGCGTACCGACGGCAACGATGGGGGGGAGAAAAGCGCGGTCAGGTACGCCGCTGCGATGTCCCCACCCACCCCCCCCGCCCGCCGACTCATCGAGGAGATACCTGTCAGAGGATCTGACGTGGCAGTGAGCTGGCATCCCCTTGTCTTGTAGGCACTGGACAGAACTTAGCTGCGTTAGTTTAGTTTGTTGTCCTTCCCCGCACCTCCGATTAGCGAGGTTGGCTACGTACGGTGCGAAAGAGGTTCAGTATACATACATGCAGAACTATGTATGTTGAACTTCTTCAAGATATATACATACAATACGGTGCGAAAGAAGTTCAACATACATACAGATTTATGTATGTACAGTGAATTTATTTGGTAACGTACGTAGCCAACCGAGCTAATCGGAGGTGCAATGCCCAAAGAGAGGGGGTGGCTCCTCTCCTCCGTGGGTGGGGGATGAAGGAGTCACGCGATTGTGAGCATGCGAACCATCGCAGAGAGCGCACAATAGTGACAGGAACCAGGCATAGGCCACCATGCTGCTACGAACGTGAACGCCAAAACACAAGGTGGGGGGGGGGGATATCGTGGGTTCCATTTACGCACGTGAACTGTGACCTCAACAATTCATCTTGACCTGGTACAGTCCAGTGGGCTAGGTGAACAGTCAATACGTCGCCTTTGTCTTCCCCGCTAACCCCCCCCCCGCACCCGAGTCTTATCTCGATCGCGTTATCGGCATCGCGTCTTCACGAGCCGGAGAGTCCATCGCGAACGGTGCATCCCCTTCGTGTGAGAGAACGGCCCACGGAAGTGGATATCACAGAGCTACCTCTGAAATCCCTTCACGTGAGTCTCTGATCCAGCCAATAGAGGGCAGCACTGTCCCACCTGCTCTGCACGTGAAAAGTACCGTCCGTCGCATGTCAAAGCAATATTTACTTTTCCCGAGCTGGAATTGAGCCAAATGGAAGTGCAGAATAAAAAAAATTGTCACAGAGTCATTGGTGACCAGGCTGAGACCATCACCTCACTGCACTTGAGAACTTAGTTTAATCACGGGCCTGGATTCAAACCCAGTACTTCACCACTGCCAGCTTAGCGCTCTGAACCTCTGACGCACCTGTGCCACTTCAAGCAGGCCCTGATTCCAAACCTCCCCGTCGTGTAGGGAGAATGCTTGGTGTGCACTATTGATGTCACGCGTTACCTGGTTTTTCTTCATGAGCAGCTGCACGGTCTGGAGGTTGTGCCCGTGGTCGGTCGACGACGCCAGGGGCATGTGATCATCTATCCAGAGCTGTGACAGGGCGAGGGCGAAAGACGAAGGGGGAAACGTTGCGATGAAAAACCTTCGCCAAAACAACGCCCGCGCTAGGCCCAAAACGAAGCGCCCGGGGGCTCGCTAGTCAGGTGAGGAGCTTGGAGAGAGAGAGAGAATTATAGTGGAGAGACAGGAAGAGTGAGGAAGACATGGCTCAGAGAACACAGTTAAAATCACAGACATCGTGTTGCTTGTGAAGGAAAGTAAACGGACTAAAAGTCTGAAAAATAAGAATAGGTTTTACCCTTTCTAACAGCTGTTAAGATGTTCACGCACCAAATCGATACACTTTCCAAGGCATCAAGTCTGCATTCACCACACGCACTTGTGGTGAACATGCAAACAAACATGCTCTGATAATATACGTGTTGCCTTCGAAAATGATTGGCCTACACCAGAGACAGCCTTCTTTATGGCCTAGTCTCACCACCAGTGTCAGGTCAGAAAACGCCAATAGGGGAACAGCACAAGGACAATACACTATCAGAGCATTTATAGCTCGGAGTGAGCAGCTACATCATGGGACCTTTTTGCCAGTATCAAAGTATAAAAGATAATAATAGATGTGTACCCTTTCTAGCAATACAACAGGAGTTGTTAAAATGTCCGAACACCAAGTAGAAACCCTTTGCAAGACATCCAACTCTGCATGAGCCACGCGGACTGGAAGTCACTAGAAGGGACGACTGCTCTCAGTGGAGACCACCGATTGGGTGAGAGCCGCAGGGGGGAACACGCGCAAGTGGATGTCCACCCTTGCGGGTGGGGAACTGAAATCGGCTCGCGTGCAGCGGCGGCGAGGAGGGCCGTCGCGACGCGCGGCTGCGAGAGACGGCGACAGCCGGACGACGGTCGGGGGGGAGAGGGGGGCGATGATTACGGCTCCTCAGCACCGTACGGTCGTCATTGGCGACGCGGGAGCGTTGGGCACCGTTGCTTCACCTCTGCATAGTCTAGCATCCGTGCAACTGTTTTGCTGGAACAGATGTGTCCACCACCTCGCCTGGCAATCTAACAATGTATTTTTAAGGGGAGACCTTCATCAAGCAGTGGATAGATCATTGCTGACGATGATGATGATGATCGAAAAGCACATACAGTCTGTTCTCCTATAAAGCGGTAGATGGGTACGCAGGCTGAACAAAGACGGAGGGCGTGTGGGTAACGTCTAGAAGCATCCAGCAGCATCCCGCTTTGTGTGATTCTACGCCGAGGCAACCGTACAACTGCTTAATCCCACTTGCGCGACCCAGTTCCGTTCACTCGATCGCGTTACATCCAATCCACGTCCACGTTATATATAACAAAAATGCGTCCCCTAACACATTCGTCGCTTCACATATCAAATTCGCGTTCTGAAAGCATATCATTTCGAACCGTGAACCCACTCACAATCTCGTCCTCCAAGTCGCGGTTGAACTGGTGGACCTCCTTGGATGCGAGGAGCTTGCCCTTCCGCTGCTGCAGGGGCTGCATGACCTGGTGGAGCCTCACCACCACCACGCGCTCCAGGCCGTCCGCTTCGTCAGAGCCCTGGCCCTCCTGGCGCAGCGCCGACGCCTGCGTCTGCAGCTCCTCCACCTCGCGCTTGCGCACCTCCATCTGGTTCTCGATCATCTGCCGCGGAGGCCCGGAACGACGCGCACCCCACCGCACGCGGTCAGATCGAGCTTCGCGGATTCTCCCTCCCGCCCCAAAGCCGACCCGGCTCGGGTCTTCTTCCTCCGTTCACCCGTCATCGAGCCGAGGTCACACCGCTCGCAAATGAGACTCGTCCGGGTGGGTCACTCGAGTTCTCACCCTAGGTCTAATAAAGTGTGCCCGGTTGTTTGGACATACTTCACCATTCTGGTCAGTGCGGGTTGGAAAAGAAAGAAAGGAAAAATAAGTGCGGAGTGGTCTAGCGTCGGGTTCAAATATCACTGGCCGCTGATGTTCGTGCCCGTGGCCAGGAATGTACCCCGGGTTGCCGGTCTCTACCGCACTGGCCTCCTGGTTTGCTGGCTGTGCAATATCCCTTAAGTACCCTGCTGTAGTCGCTCCGTGACAATATTGACGTTTCTGTTTTGTTGTTGCTACTCCTGCTGCGCTCACGCAGCACCGCGGATCTCCCGTGCAATCCGTGTAAACAAATAAAGTAAACTTAAGCAAAAAAAGTAAAGAGTGCACCTTGACTTAACTTGATCGGGAGGATCGCAGGCTGCAGAAACCACTTGCAGAGGAAGCCCTCTAGCAGGCGCTACCTCACAAAGCCGGACCCATACGTTTTGAGTACAGCGATCGATTTCTCTCCGCTTCACGGTGGTTCGGTCACGTGGCGAAATCGGACACCGCGAGAATTACTCGCAGGAGGAGTGAAAGCTTCACCGCTATCCCCGCGCGTGCCGGGCGGGACGGCGTGGACGCGGCCTCCTACAGCCGCGTGAGGTCACCAAGTTAGCCGAGCTAAGCGACGTTGAAGTAAGCGTTTAAAAATAGCACGTTTTTACTTCATCGACTTGGGGTCCCATTATCGGCACCCCAAGAATTAAGAGACCCCCGAGGTAAAACGGACACTGGTTCTCAAGAGCAACAAATGTTGCCCCGGAAATGTCTATAGGCCGACGGAATAAAAAGTTACTTTAATTTATTTCTGCGGTGAAACGGACTGGATGCCGAGCGTAAACATGTATCGGCCGAGGAACTAACTTCGAAAAAAAACATTGCAAATCCATTGCAGAATGGACTGAGACCATCATTAACTCACCCACTACACTTGTTGCCCTTCCCCAGCAGCTCCGATTAGCAGAGTCGGCTACGTACGGTGCGAGAGAAGTTCAACATACATACATACGTACTTGGGAACCAGCTTCACAATCCCATCGGCCGCCTGGATTCCGAACCAAAACCTCGGCCGACGGGGGTGGGGAGAGGGGGGGGCGGCCTTACCGAGTCCCTAGCCCCCACCTCGCCCCCACGCATCCACCGCGACGCCCGCATCCACCTGGTGCTTCTTGAGCAGGATGTTGACGCCGGTGAGGTCCTTCCCGTACTCGTCCGACTGCGTGTGCGACTCGAGCTCGCCGATCCACTTGTCGAGGTCGGCACAGCTCTGCGTGAACAGCTCCGCCTTGTTGGCGTCGAAGAGGCGCTGCGCCTTGGCCTGCGTGGTCGACTCGAGCTCACGCCACAGCCGCTGCAGCTCGGCGAGCTCCCGGCGCACGACGGGCTCCGTCTCGGGCTTCTCCGTCACCAGCGCTTCGCCGTCCTGCCGCGCGGGGCAGACAGGGACGGAGGGAGAGAGCGCATCCTCCGGGATTAACGAGAGCGAGCCAACACCACGACGCGCAGCCGCCTTTCGTCTCCCCAGCAAGCGATGTTCACGCACCCGCACCAGGTATGCATTTGAGGCTGAGACGACCTAGGGGAGGCCCGGGACCGGTTCAAATATTCGTCGCCACTCAATGGCGGAGCCAGGATTTTCAGGTGGGGGGGGGAATCCCTCCAGCAATGAAAATGATAAGAGGAGTTGTTAGTAAGCAAGGACTTGTCCCTTGCTTTTTATTCGACGCGTGTGCGGCGATGGCGCTGCCATAGATCGAGGGTCGAATTCGAACAGCATTGTGTGATCGGCATCGCACTCACTAAAGGTGAATGACTTCAGGGAAGTCGCGTACTGTATACGCAACTGCGCACAATTATGTGAGTCACTTATAACTGCTTTGCCGTTACTTATTGCTAATTATGGACTCAGACTATTGTTCTATCATCTCATAGAGTCCCTGGCACGTAATAATATTCTACACAGTGGCAGTGGGGGTCGCAAAATGCCGCTTTATTACTAATAAACCCCAATAATCCGATCGATATTAGGGATTTCGATGGGATCATTGGGAGGGCACGTGCCACCCCCCCCCCAAGCACCAACACTACCGCTCGCACACAGGTGAACGCGCACTCGCGAGCACACACGGACGAGCGCCACGCGGCGCACGAACCTTCTTGATCTTCTCCAGCCACTCCTTGTTGGAGGCCAGCTCCGCCATGAATGCCTGGTGCTTGAGCCACTTGGAGTGGAGGTTCCTGGCCTCGTCGTACGACGTGTCCTGCGCCGTCAGCATCTTCTCGTTCACCCAGCACGTCAGCTGTGGCCACGACCACGCACACGCACACCGGAGCAGCGGGGTGAGTGGGCGGGCGGGTCGGAGGCGGGGGGGAAGAGGAGGCGAGTGGAAGAGCTGGTGAGTGGGTGATGTGAGTGAGTGAGTAGGGGATGTGAGTGAGTGGGCGATGTGAGTGAGTAGGGGATGTGAGTGAGTGGGTGAGTGAGTAGGTGAGTGGGTGAGTAAGGGGGTGAGTGGATGAGTGAGTGGGTGAGTGGACAATGTGAGCGAGTGGGTGAGTGAGTAGGTGAGTGGGTGAGTAAGTGGGTGAGTGGATGAGTGGGTGAGTGAGTGGGTGAGTGGACAATGTGAGTGAGTAGGTGAGTGGATGAGTAAGTGGGTGAGTGGATGTGAGTTAATAGGTGAATGGGTGAGTACGTCAGTGCGTGATTGAGTGAGTGAGTGCGTGGGTAGATGAGTGAGTGAGTGGGTGAGTAGGTGAGTGGGAGGGAGAGTGGGTGATGTGAGTGAATGGGTGACTCCTTGAGTGAGTAGGTTTGTAAGTGAGTTCGTTGGGTGGGATAGTGGATGAGTAAATGAGCGAGCGAGCGAGCGAGTTACCAAACAAGGGGCTTCTCCTGCCCAAATCTCACCTCGCGGCACTCCTGAAGGAACTTCTGGAGGTCCCTGTTGTCCCTGAGCCTCACCAGGACGTCCCCAGCCACCTCGCGGTTCCTCCTCGCCCTGAGAACCAACGCCGGGAATTCATCAGACATCAATCGTCAAAAGTGATCTCATCATCATCCTCACCACCGTCGTCGTTGTCGTCAAGAGTCATTCGGGACCTCGGATCAGGTGATGGTGGCGTCAGGTTCCGAGCTGGTGTCTCGGAGAATCTGTCCCCCGGGGCAGGCGATGCGGTGAGCAAGTCGGCGGCATCGTCCATTCAATGAATGCCGCTGTAAATGTCGTCTACAGTAATTGAGGGCGTCGCGATTATATGCCGTTACTTTCATGGCGAATGTAATCATCGTTAATAATTACATAGTTTCTAATTAAATTTCTTGGAGTAAGAGACGCCACGTGTGCTGTCCCTACGATCACAATGATTGCTCGTTCTTTGATATTTAAAATAAAATTACAAAAATTCTGGGCAAATATTTACGAAATATCGCAATAGTTGCAATATCTAAAGTGATATGGTAGCTACTACCAATATGCCGCCGGTGCTTCGCAGCAACATGTTGAATGGGACTGCGTTTGAAGGATACTTTTGGGCAACATGTTTGGTACAGAAGTAGAGCAAAGCACAGAAACCCATGCAATAGAAATGTGAAACGCAATTGTGAAGTTATGGGAAACTCATATCGCGATAATTTTCATGTCGTGAATATTAATGTCATACAGTGATAAATATGCGCCAATGGTCAATCACATATTCGCCACTGATGTTGGCCGAACCCAAATCGCGAGGCTTGTAGCGCAGTGCGCTAATCACTGCACTCCTGCTCCCCACCAGGATGCATAAGGCAATGAAGACAAGCTGTAACCTCCGATAGCCTGAGCAGGCTGCTGGGCCAAGTGCTGTTAGCGAGCGCCTATGAAGGCCTGTACACAAGGCCAGCACCACGATATTTACAAACTGCACACCAACACCATTATCAATACTCGCAATTCTCCACGAGTTGACGGTGACGTCACCACGGCGCCTGTGCCAGGCCAGGTGCACTTTGAGGTCGGGTGAAGTGCCGAAGGCTCGCTGACAGGGGGTCACGGGACAGACCCAGGTGCCATGGGTTGGCTGACTGAGACGACTGGCAGATGCACCAGCTGTACCCCCTACTCTGCCAGCTTGTTGTATTTTAGCCGCCTGGCGCTCCGCTCGTTGTTGCGAGCGTCGCTCCTCTGCCCTCTGTTGTTGTTGAAGGCCGACTGACTCCAACTGTCCAATCGCGTCCTTCACGAGCCTCCTCCATGCACACACACCCACACCCGCGCAGGCAGGCAGGCAGCCGTGCGTGCGTGCGGGCTCCGTACCATTCCTGGATGGTGTCCACCTTGTCGGAGACCTTGTCCGCGTTGACGTTGCCGTCACCGACGAGGCGAGCGCCCAGCTCGGTGACGCCGTGGATGCGCTCGTCGTTGGCGTCCATGCTGTTCATGAAGTTGTCGTGCTTCTTGATGGCTGCCTCGGCGCCCTCCAGCGTCTGTGGCATCTCCGCGTGGCTCAGCGCGTACTCCTGCGCGCGGAGAGAGAGAGAAGGGAACGAGTACACGGGTCATTGCGTGCAAACACCGATCCTGGACGCTCTTCATCTCAAGGCACATCTCCCGCGACGGAATAGGTGGCAACCGCTCACCTGGTTGGTGAGGAACACCTCGGTCTGCTTGGCGTCGCGCAGGAACGTCTGGAAGCCGTGCGCCTGCGTGAGCTGCCGGTGGCGGCTCTCCCACAGCGCCTGGACGTCGTCCCAGCCGGCGTCGAGTGACTTCAGCTGCTCCTGCAGCTGCCCGTGCTGCGGGTCGCTTGGGTCTTGCGTGAGCAGCGCGCCCATGTCCCTCACCCGCTGGAACTCCTCCTGCGCTCACGCAGCCGTGACAGGGAGGGAGGAAGGGGAGGGGAGGAGGAGGGAGGGAGGGAGGAAGGTAGTCAGGAACACGTGGTCGCTAAGCACGAGGTTAATCGCGCACCAGCGGCGTGGTTATCGAGTAAGGCCGGCGGTGCTGCCAGTCCCGTTGGAGATCCTGAGCAGAAATGTAATTTGGGTGCTGTCACCTGGCTGCTGGGAGGGGGAGCAGTGGGGGCGCGTGCGCCGCACCTGGTTGTTGTCGATCTCGTTGCGCAGGCCCTCGAGCTGCGCCAGCTGCGTCTCGGCCTCGGGCAGGCTGGAGGGCGGCTCGTCGCTGGCGATGGCCATCTGCGTGCGCGACAGCCACGCCTGGAAGTCGTCGAGCGCCTGCAGGAACTGCTGCAGCTTGCTCGTCTCGCCCAGCGAGGCCTCGCGCGAGTGCAGCGTGCGCTGCAGCTCGTCCCACACCTGCACGCGCGCGGTGGAAGGGGGGTGGTCAACGTTTGTTTTTTGCGTGGGAACGTCGCCCTCGGTGGGGTGGGCTCCGGTGCGCGTCGCTGTGGAACTGGAGCGGTACCGGGAGCGCGGGCACACGGGGCAAACAGGAATGAGAAAAGAGACCCCTTCGAAACCTCAGCAGCTGACACCGACTGAGCGGAGTGAATTGCAACCACGCGAAACAAACGGCATAGGGAAAGTAAGTAGTAATTTAAATTAAAAAAGGCAAATAAACTTGTTTTTTCCCTTTTAATTTTTTTTACGTGATGGGAAGGCAAGCCGGAATAAACGCATCTTGCACACGCCACGGGGGGGTCAAGCGACACCACGGAACTGGACTGAGCGGGGTCGGGGTAGAGGTCGGGGTCAAGGGTCAAAGTTAACGACCGTCGGTGTCGTAGCCAGCGGGGTATCCGCGCTGTCGCATGAATTTGACTCGATGCAATTTGTGCAAACTACAGAATACAGGCAAATACGACTGCGGTACGTGCTTTGTGGTGAGGGGGGCCGGTACGTGGTGCGAGTGGCCAGGGGTAGGTGAGAGGCCCAGCGGCCTGGCCACGCCTCCCACCTCCAGGTTGTCGTTGAGGCGCTGGCGGATGGCGTCCGCCTGCTCCGGGTGCTCCACAATGAGTCGCTCCGACTCCGTCTGCAAGTCGCCCATCTTCGCCTGTCGAGCGTCAACGTGGCGGCGTGAATCACACCGACGATGGTGATGGAGTCATTGATAACGATGATGGTGGTACTGATGGTGATGGAACGGCTGCTGTTGACGATGATGACTGATGATTACAGTTGCAATAACAACCGCAGTGAAATAAAAAAGGAAATAAATATTGCCTGAGAAGCAACTCAAGCCACAGGATGCATTTGTTTTATTGTAGACCTTACGAGCATTAACCCCTTGTTTGCCAGTTCAGTTTAATTTATTGAATTCGTTCGTAGTAAAGGAGCAGCAGTTCCCAACCATTCCGTAGGAATCTACGTCAAACTTCTTTCGCATCGTGGATAGCCAGCCGTGCGAATCGGAGGTGATGCCGATGTCGCTGCAGATGACGTGCATGATGGTGTGATGCTGTCAGTGTTGCTGCTGATGACGATGTCAGTGTTGATTCTAAATACTGATGATCATAATGATGCGACTGCTCCTCTTGACACTACGACAGCTGCTACTACTGCTTTGATAATGATAGTAGTGACATCCTGGACATCTGTGAAAAAGAGCTTCATAGCTCATCAGATTCCGACAATCTATGATGATGATTGCTTTACTGATAAAACGATGGTGATCCAACTGTTGCACTTGCAATTACTGACAAAGACACCACGCAGGTTTTCACAGCCAATAATATTACGATTGCTTTGGTTCGGCCACATAATGATCTGCCCAAAGTTGTGTCAGCAGACCCTCCATCACCTGACATATAGCCAAACCAAATTAAAATTATCAAGTGATGCAAAGGAGTTTGAGCAAGCTTCTCACAACCACATTCAGCAATTAAGGTACGAATTTGCCATTGTATCTCACTGCTGAATATGACTTTCAGAATGCGTTCCCCAACTCACCCAGCGAATGAACTTAAGCAATAATAATCGGAGCGCTGTGAAACTCTTGTGTCGGGCAGTAGGGGGGGTGGGTTTGATGACACAAATTTGGCCAGAGACCGTTACAAAGATCATTACTAAGAGGCTAAACCCAACATTTCTCTTTGAAAGCCCCTAAACTGAACTATTTTTTATTTTACCAGGTAAGCCTCACGGCTAGTTTTTTCAGAAGCGACCTGGCCACCACAAATGATAGCTCAATGAAGTGGCTTATCGTCGCGTGGGAATTCATAGCAGGCAAACACTCTGAACGCGTGACGTTGATTCTAAATGTGGAGGGAACAACCGGAGGACCCGGAGAAAAAGCCACGTGACCACGGGGAGAGAGACACGCAAACTCCGAATAGACTACGGTGGGGATAAAACCCCCGATCTCCTGCATACCAGGCGAGGTAGATCACATCTCACCCCCCCCCAACTACCCCGGCCCCCCCCAACTCCCCCCGCCTTCCCCCCCAACTACCCCTGCCCCCCCCCCCAACTCCCCCCGCCTTCCCCCCGTCGCACCTGGATGGCGGCGAGGTCGCGCTCCATCCCCGTGAGCTTGCGCTGCAGGGCCATGACCCCCGCGAGGTCGCTGCCCGGCTCGGCGGTCAGCTCGATCACCTGGGGGGGCCCAAACGAAGCACGCAGTCAGATTCTGAGCCGCTGCCGAGTCGGTCGTCGGCCAATCATCATCATCGCCCTCGTCAGGAACGCACGGGGAATGAATGCGCCGCCCACAGCATCCACCGCGCTCCAAATGCGTCGCAGAAAGGAGGCTTCCCGCGAGGTTAGGCCCCCTGGGTTCACGACGATCCGACGGCCGATCGGACGGTGCCGTGATGGAGACACGCTCGAGATCGGCTCGAGATCGGCTCGAGATCGGCTCCCAACGGCGCGAGCTCGGCGTGCGGGGCTGCGCGCTCGAGTCGATCGCGCGCGAATCAGCGCTCGTTTTGACGCGTGCGTTGCACGCGTACGGCGCCTGGCGTCGATCCACCGTTGGGCGAGGGCATCCCCATGGGGGGATATTTGACCGTACTTCACCGCGCTTATCAGTTGCGGGTCGGCGAAAGCGTAGGTGTGGGAGCTTTGAAGTGCAGTGCAACAATGAATTTTTTTACGAACTGCTCTCTGCTGCCCACAACGTAGCCCCCGCCCCCACAGCAGCCTCTGTCGCATTTGAAACACGGCGTTAGCCCATGGGGACGCTATCCAGGGCTCAAGCCTACTTAGTGGCCGAGATCTGATGAGACGGCAAGCCTTCTGGGCTCCCTCGGCCACAGGTGTGAACTTTACTCCGAGGAACATTTGTGTCACAGTTGAAAAATATTCAGGCTTAATCGGGTCAAAGTCATCTCTTCCCTGCTCAAAATGTGCACGGGGTGGCACTTTATATCCACCGGTCGCTCTGAGAAACTGACAGCAACTCCACGTTCCTATGGCGGGGGCCAGTCACTCCGATGGCATGACCACTCGACATCCCATGAAAGTGGTACTCATTGTATCGTCCCTGGAGGGATGAAGAGCTATGAGCAGGATTTGAATTTGTAATATTTTCAAATGAAATCAAAATATAAGAGTAACTTATCAGCCCGTGCCAGGTGGTAAGTGACTGACTGTCTATTATTACCAGTCGCCTGTTGGGCTGTATCTGGTGTGAAGTAACCGCATCCGCACAAACCATGGCACGTGCCGTTACTCGATGATGGGCAAATGGGCAACTAAAAACGAATCCGGCATTGTGCAACGTGAAACAACGGAGGCATCACCCACAGCGACACCACCGCCACTGACGCAATTCATCTCGCTCAGTCGTTGCTTTACGCCAACATCGGCCACACGACGAAGTAGAGGGAAACCGTCGGGTTGTGCAGTTATCCGATTAGAGCCGTGGGCGGACATTCACTCTCTCGCTCGTTCACTCGATCGCTCATTCGTGGGATCGGAGGAACAAACCTTGGTCTTCTCACGGATCCAGGCCATGGTCTCGGTCACTTCGAAGAAGTAATTCTGGATGCTGAGCACCGAGTAGAGACCGCCCTTCTTCCTCTCCACCAGCTCGCGGAAGAGCGCCCACCTGCGGTGCGACACGCCGTCCCGCAACGCGTCCAACGGAAGAAAAAGACACCGCAGCACGGAGCGGAAGAGAGTTTTTTTGGGAAAAAGTTTTTTTTGTCGAAGAGCTAATTGAGACGGCAGATGTTTTTGAGATTCGTAGGGGGTGGTTTTTTATTTCCCACCGAGATCACCAGTTCCATGCAAATGAACACAAATATTTGAACATTTCAGTCACCTCATAATGCATTCCTCATCTCCATTGGTGGCTCTGAGCCGTGGTGCAAATTCCCCATTCCTATGACAGGGACCAGTCTTTCCATAGGACAACCACTATCGGCTTCACACAATTGGTACTCATTTTATAAACTCCGGAGGAACGATGGTTTGGGATCGACGCAAAAATAGGGATTTTCAAAAAAGAGCATGAGCCAACGTTAGAAAGAGCGAGGCGGCCACTTACTGTGTGGGCGGGGCTAGTGGCTGAGTGGGTGGGGCTAGTGGCTGAGTGGGCGGGGCTAGTGGCTGAGTGGGTGGGGCTAGTGGCTGAGTGGGCGGGGCTAGTGGCTGAGTGGGTGGGGGCTATGTGGAGTGAGTGGGGCTAGTGGCTGAGTGGGGGGGATATTTAAAAGTGGGCGGGGCCGACAGAGGGAGGCTCCAGCAGCTCGCTATGTGCCCGGGTTGAGCCTCCCGGGAAAATTCGGTGACCCGGCAAACCCGGGGGGCAGCCGCTCGTTGCTCACCGCTTGTTGAGGTTGTCCTGGCGTTGGCGGACGTCGCCCTCGCTCGGGTGACCCGTGTTGGCGAGCTGCTGAGCGATGTCGTTTACCGTGGCGACGCGCGACGCTTGCCCGTTCATCTCCGGCTCCAAGCTATCGAACCTGCGCATCGGCGGACAGGGGACGCCAAACAGAGGGATGACGGGCTGAGTCGACGGCCAACCGGCATCCGGACTCCGCGACCTTCCACCCCGATGGTGCTCGAACCACAGCGCTGTTGTTATTACCAGCACAACGGACGTATGACGAGAATTTGTTGAAGTCGAGCATGTGGCGTGACGTGCACCCACCTTTCTCCGCCACGTTACTCAATTGTTAGGAGCGTCAACACGTTCGTCAATAACGCCTTAAGAGGAAAAATACATGACAGGCAATGTCCCGGGCAATTGATTGTAAGCACATGTTAAGGCCAGCGAAATAGAGTGAATTGGAGTTGGAGAATGCAACTTGTTCATACCATGGAGGCTGAAAAGAATTACACTTTAAATATATTTCCAACAACAGGGATGACAATGATCTCCCGTGACAGCCGTGTCAGCCAGGGCAGCACCAATGAGTCCCGGGGCATCCTCGCGGGGACACATCCCATCACGGCCACGTGCTTTCCGACTGTACGTCACGCAGCAGCCAGCCACCTATGAACTAGGCCAGTGTAAATTTGTAGTATTTTGACCCGTGGTCCCAATTTGCAGTACAGGGACTCCTCTACTTACGAACGGGTTAGGTGCCAGAGGTCTGTTCGTAAGTCGATTTGTTCGTAAGTCCAACTTTACTCCTGTCTTTTACAAACATGTTGTACGGCATGTACAATAAACACGGGGGAATGGCTTTAAGAGTTGTATAATCTCCTGAAGATGTAGATGCCACTGGTTCTTCACGTTCTGCAGATGTAGATGCCACCGCCGCCATCCACTGCGCGGCGGTTGAACTTACGACTCTCGATTGGAACAGGCAACTGGACATACGGAGAGGTTTGTTCGTATCCCTGAAAGTTTCATAAGTCAAATGTTCGTAGGTAGACGAGTCCCTGTAATCATAATTTTCCAGATTTTGCCACTAGATGGCAGCAACAGACGTACCGCGTGCTTGGCCTGCAAACCACACCCACATTCATAGCTCGCTCACGCGTAACATCGGGACCGGTCACCACAGGAGGGCATCGCAAGGTTCGCCACAACAGACGGGGACCCCGACTGTGAAAGGGTTAAACAAACCCCGGTGCACCCAAGATCCCAGGGGTGAAACGAGGAAAGGGGCTCCTCTAAAATAAACTTAATTTACTTACCAGGTGGTTAAAGCCCACTAAGCTATGTAGCGACCTGGCTATCACGAATGATAGCTCAACGAAGTGGCTTATCGCGTGGGAATTCATAGCAGCCAAGTACTCTAAACGCATGATTCTAAATGTGCATGGAACAACTGGAGGACCCAGGAGAAAAATCCACGCGACCACGGGGAGAGAGAGAGAGAAAACATGCAAACTCCAAATACAGTAAAACCTTGGATTGCGAGCATAATTCGTTCAGGAAACGTATTTGTAATCCAAAGCACTCGTATATCAAAGCACTCGTATATCAGTTGTGATCACGTGACGCTCGGCAGACAAAGCGTATACACGTGCTACTCGTATTGCAAGACCTCGCTCGTTTATCAAATCAATATTAAATTGAAAAAATTGCTCGTCTTGCAAAACACTCACAGACCAAGCTACTCGCAATCCAAGGTTTTACTGTAAACAAAAGGCGTCAGGGTCGGGATCGAACCTCCGGCATACCAGGCGAGAGAGAGAACATCTCACTCCCGCCAGCATCCCCTCCCCCGCGACGAGACCTCGACCGCACCTGTGCTGCACCACCTCCAGGTCCTCCAGGCGCTCGGGGATGACTATGGCGTCAAGCCACTTCTCCTTCTCGTCGATCCACAGCTCGCAGGCGTCCGCCTCGCTGTACATGGTGTAGAGCGCCAGCGCGTCCTGCAGCCGCTGCTTGCGCACGAGCGCCAGCTCCACGAGGTCGCGGTACTCGCCCTCGATCGTCTCCAGGCGGTCGCGGATCTCGGGGGAGTTGGCCGCCTCGGCCGGCAGCGACTGCGTCATCTCGTAGAGGCCGTCCAGCGCCGACCTGGAGGGTCGGGGGGGGGGGCGACGCGGCGCGGACAAACCGCGCGTCGTCAACCGTGGGGAGCGGTGGTGGTGGTGGTGGTGGTGCGTGTGCTGTGTTCGCGTTTTACAGATAATTATTTCCCGACCGCGCTGTCGGCGTCACGGTCACGAGCCGCGGTGTGCATGCGGGTCTCTCAGGAGAGCGGCAGAGCTACCTCCGAGACCTCCTCAAGCGACCGCTGTGCAGTGTGTGCACCTGTGGAGCGTGCGAGGGTGCGTGCGTGCGAGGGTGCGTGCGTTTGCACCTTGGGGAGCGGTGGCGATTCAATTCCCGCTCACGGCAAACAATCACTGACGAATATATGAACCCTGTCGCGGACCTCCCTTAGGTCGACTCGACCTTAAAAATTTTGCAACTTGGTGCCGGGTACGTAAGGGTCGACGCCGAGGAGACAAAGGCGGCCGGCCGTAGTGCCCGCCACAACACTCCCTCGTGCGCTGGTCGTGTGCTGTGCGTGCTGTGTGTGCTGTGTGTGCTGCGTGTGCTGCACACAGCCCCTACCGGTGCTGCGCGATCTCCTCGGTGACGTCGCGGTGCTTCTTGACGAGCGCCTGCGTCGAGTACTCGTCCGTGCCCACCTCGTCGCTCGACACGAGGCGGAACACCTCGGCGATCCACGCCTCCATGTCGTCGGCGTCCGCCTGGAACTGGTAGAGCGCCAGCGCCTCCTGCAGCGCGTGAGCCACGCGCACACACAGACAGACACACGTATTAACACACACACACTTACACACACACACATACACACACACGTATTAACACACACACATACACACACGTATTAACACACACACAGACACACGTATTAATACACACACACAGACACACACACACAGACACACACACACAGACCCACACACACACACAGACACACACACACACAGACACACACACAGACAGACACAGACACACACACAGACACACGTATTAATACACACACACAGACACACACAAAGACACACACACACAGATAGACACACACACAGACACACACACAGACAGACACACACACAGACACACACACAGACACACGTATTAATACACACACGCACACACACACAGACACACACACACACACAGACACACAGACACACACACATACACACACAGACATACACACATACACACACGTATTAATACACACACACACAGACACACACAATACACACACGTATTAACACACACACACATACACACACACATACAGACACACACACAGACACACACACACAGACACACACACACAGACAAACACACACACAGACACACACACAGACACACACACACGTATTAACACACACACCCATACACACACACACTCACGTATTAAAACACACACATACACACACACACGCATACAGACACACACGTATTAACACACGCATACACACATACACACACAGACACACACATTCACACACACGTATTAACACACACGTAACACACGAAGACAAAGATCCCCATATAGCCTTAACAGACTGTTGGGGCAAGTGGTGTCAGTGAGCACCGATGAAGGCCGGCACGGCACACGAGGGGGTGGGTGGCCAGCACCACGCCCGACCGCCTTTGTCTCCCTAGTGGCGATGTTCACACACCGCACCAGGTACAAATTTGAGGCTGAGTCGACCTAGGGGAGGCCCAGGACCAGCTCCGATATTCGTCGCCGGTGTTAACCGCGAGTGGAAATCAACTCGAGTCGCAGGGCACCTTGAGCAAGCAGCGCGCTGACCGCTACACTGCCACTCCCCCTCCGATCCACCACCACCACTCATATGAATACTCTGAGTTCTTTCGGTAAAGTCACGTAGGTAAAAAATGAAATTGTTTTATTTTTATTAATTTTAATTTCATTTTTTACCTACGTGACTTTACCGAAAGAACTAAGAGTATGAATCCTTGCAGTCACGAAAGCTTCAAATCAAGTACTACACTCGTATGAAGACACGGCCACGACTGCCCCCACAGCCACCACCACGGCACCCCCCCCCCCACCAGCACCTGCAGCCGCTCGCGCCGCAGCCTGGCGAGGTCTTCGAGGCGCGCCCACTGCGCCTGCACCTCGGCGGAGCGCGCACGGATGCGGTCGGCGCCCGGGTGTCCCTGGCGCGCCAGCTCCTCCCCGCCGGCCACGGTGAGCGACAGGCGTGCGCGCCGCCCGCTCATCTCGTCCTCGAGGGCGCGCTGAGCCGCCGCCAGCCGCAGCGTGGACGTGAGGTCGCGCCCCACCTCGGCGGAGGCGAGCGCCGGCTCCTGCTCGCGCATCCACGCCTCGTCCTCCTCCAGCTCCCACAGGTGCTGCCAGAGGCGGCGCGAGTCCTCGAGGCGGGCGCGCCGCTCCGCCGCCAGCGCCGCCAGCTCTCCGTAGCAGAACTCGAGGTGGCCCACGCGCTCCAGGATGATCTGCGGGTCGCACGGCTTGTACGCTGCGCGGGAGGGAGTGGAGGGATTGGTGGGATTGGTGGGATTGGTGGGAATGGGGGGGGTGTGGAGGGAAGGAGTGGAGGCATTGGAGGGAGGGAGGCGAGGAAGAGAGGGAGAGAGGGAGGGAGGGAAGATATGTTTACATAGAGCTCCTGAATTTACTTCTGCAAACTTCCTTTATTTGTTCTTTCTTTGCCTTCATTGAGTGAAGATTTAATCCCTCAAAAGATGAGTTTTTCACTTGATACATCTTTCGATAACAACCAACACACACACAAGCTGTGGATCGACGAGAAGGAGAAGTGGCTCGACGCCATAGTCATTCCCTTTATCATAGCACATGCCTGAAGGACCAATGCCCGAAACGTCGAGTGTATGGATTGCTTTTTTTACAATCGACCAATCGCCACCGAAGGACATTCGGACCCAGCCGTGGTCCGCCCACCTCCCGATCCCCCCCCCCCCCCCCCCCCCGCGATGGTACCCTCGTCAGTTACCCTCGTTTTTTTCAACCAAACTTGCCTTTTAATTTAAGAACACAGCACTTAGTAGTACATTTTGTACAAGGTACTCGTATGTAAATGATTACAATATCTTACAATCGTATGAGCATTTCACACCCATCGCTTACATCCTGTAACCGATGGAATTCCGAAATATGGACAGCAGAGGGCTGTACAATAAAATCCATTGTTGTACTGCACCTCTATGCTCCAACATCTATGCTTCCCGTCTTCGCTAACCAACACTGGCCAGCGTAGCAAATGGTCAAATAACCCCCCCCCACCCCCACGACGTGCATGGCGTGGGGGAGACCTTCATCGTTGTCGGCGAACTTGTGCGCGGTGGCGTTGACGGAGCGCACGCGCTCCGCCTGCACGCCGATGTCCGACTCGACGAGCGCGTGCTTCTGCAGCAGGTCCTCCACGCCCAGCAGGTGCTTGCCGTGGTCCTGGGACAGCAGCCGCACCTGGCGGTGGGCACAGAGACCCGGTGGGGGGGGGGGGGTAGGTGGGGGAGGGAGACGCAGAGGGAGGGAGAGAGGGAGGGGAGGGAGAGAGAGAGGGAGGGAGGGAGAGGACGGAGGCAGGGGAGGGGAGGGAGGGAGGAGAGGGGAGTGGAGGGAGGGAGGCAGGGGAGGGAGGGAGGGAGGCAGGGGAGGGAGGGAGGGAGGGAGGCAGGGGAGGGAGGAGAGGGAGGGGAGGGAGGGAGAGTGGGAAGAGAGGGGAAGGAGGGAGGCAGGGGAGGGTGGGGAGGGAGGAGGGAGGCAGGGGAGGGAGGGAGCGAGGGGAGTGAGGGAGAGTGGGAAGAGAGGGGAAGGAGGGAGGGAGGGGAGGGAGGCAGGGGATGGAGGGAGGGAGGGAGGTGAAAGGGACGCCAGGCGATCGCCCACGTGTTGGCGTCCTCCCCGCTGGAACACGCGTGCGTGTGGGGAAGGTCGGGTGACCTGAGGGGCTTATCGCTCGTGGGTGACTCCAAGGGTATCGTCAACGTCTCTCATGCACTTCTAAATCTGGATTGAAAACTCATTTATTCAGAATAGCTTTTTGTATTGAGTTTGTTGTCGTTCACCCCGCACATCCGATGAGCACGGTAGGCTACGTACGGTGCGAAAGAAGTTCAACGTACAATCTGCCCGCGGGTAATAAATAAATAAATAGGTGCAGCCAACGCTGGCAGAAGGGCCTCCATGAGAGGGAGCTCTGAAGAGAGCTCCTTCCGTAGGGTATTTGGCCTACTCTTCCATCCTTATTATCATTGGGACTGTTTGGTAAATGCTGTGAGCCAAAGCTTTAACCTGCTTTGAAACTAAAAACTACGATAAACTATTTTTATTTTACCAGGTAAGGCTCTGTAGCTCTTTTCCAGAAGCGTCCTGGCCACAAATGACAGCTCAACGAAGTGGCTTATCACGTGGAAATTTATAGCAGCCAAATACTCAAAACGCGTGTTGTTGATTCTAAATGTGGAGAGAAAAACCGGAGGACCCAGAGAAAAATCCACGCCACCACGGGGAGAGACACGCAAACTCCAAATGTACAACAGGGGTCAGGGTCGGGATGGAGCCGTGACAACCTCCTGCATACCAGGCGAGGTAGTTAACATCTCGCCAACAGAGCGTCCCTTTAATTTCCGATTGCCAGACTCGCCAGAGGCCCTAGATAGCGAGGCTGGATATTATTATAAAATCGCGGCTATACATGAAACAATGGCGACGGGTAACATGGAGCTCCGCCTTCAACAGCACCTTCATCTCGTCCATCCAGTCCATGATGTGCAGCATCTCCTGGAAGACTCGCTGTAGCGCCAAATTGACTTCGAGCCGGCGGCGCCGGGCGCGTAGCAGCTCCAGCAAGTAGTCCCAAAGGCGGAGGACGTTGTCCCGGCGGGCCGTGATGCGCCGCACGTCGTGGTAGTCCTCCGCCTCCAGCTCGCACGCCACGTCCACCACGGTGAGCACGCGCTCCTCGTAGGCCGCGATGTCCGTCTCGATCGCCTCGTGCTTCTTCGTGGCCGCCTCCACCGCCGGCAGGTCGAAGCCGAAGTTGTCCTGCGGGGGGGGAACCGGTCGGGAAGGGCGGAGCGGATGCGTCGGCTTTCGTCGGCCACTTTCACCGCGTAACGTATGTTTGTTGAACTTCGTTCGCACCGTACGTATTCGACCGTGAAAATCGAAGGGGGTGGTGGTGGTTTGGGGGGGAATGGCAACTAAACACGAAAAATAAGTTTTATAGAAATTAATTTTGAATCTATATCGCCGTCGTCATCATCGTTGTCGTCATCAGCCGTTGTTGATCTGAAGGTCGCTACGATCCACTTCACTCCTGCACATGAACCGACGATGATGATGATGATGGCTAAAACCTACGAGTGCCACCCGTTGCCATCCAATCTGACATCCTGCACAAACAGCTCCATTCCCCGAGCAGCAGTGTCACAGCCCCATGGGCCGGAGGCGCCCAGATGCCAGGCGAAGGGGAGATGGGAGGGGAAATTGAACAAGGGGCATACCTGCCAGCTCTATCGATATGTACACGGTAGACTGCCTCCTAACAAAAACTCAATAACCTTTTACAGAATACCGATATTCAAAGCATAAACTGAATCACATTTCTTTCCTTCTATAATTGGATGAAGCGGTACAATTAGCTTTGAACGATCGGCATCGGTTGAAAGGATTAAAATATCGGCGGCCCACCACTTAAATCGGGAGGGGTGGCACAAGCGAGAGGGTGGGCAACCTCAGTGGGCTATATCTGGTAAGATAAAAAGTAATTTCGTTTAATTTGTATTTTTTTTAAGTCACGTGTTTACCTTGCATATGCTTTGCACTCCTATCGTGTTTTTGCATCGTTTGTTGTCGTAACGTTCTAAACCCGCCCCGACTGCGCATCTGTGAAGAAGAGCTTTACAGCTCAAATGTTCAGATTCTGCGCCCCATTTCAATCTGTTAGGCCGGGCCCCGAAGACGCACCCCCAGTGCCCACCGCGCCACACCGCCAGAGGTCGCAACCGGGTACCCGATACCCGTACCCTACCCGATACACGGCTACCCGTACCCGGCCGGGTACGGGTACGGGTAGCCGTTTGCTCCCTGGTGCGGCCAGGTACGAGTACGGGTAGGCCGTGAGTCACTGGTGAGTCACCGTTTGTCACTCATTTCGGGTAGGGAACGGGTACCCATTTGCCGGGTACGGGTAAGGAATCAAAACCCGTTTGCGACCTCTGCACACCGCCCACCCGCCCACCCACCAACACGACGGCCCCGCGCGGCGCTCACCTGCGCGACGAGCCGCTGGTTCTCGCTGAGCCAGGCCTCGCGCATCGCCGCCTTGCGATCGAAGCGCCGCGCCAGCTGCTCCAGCTTCTCCTGGCGGATGAGCTCGTCCCGCAGCGCCAGCTCCCGCTCGTGCTCCGCCTTCTCCAGCCGCTCCCACGCCTGGGCAGAGGAGGCCACGCGCACCACCACCGGAGTTCATTGTGATGCCTTGTTATGAGTGTCTACTTCGTGTTTGAACACCTGAACACCTCCTGTATTTATTGCCAGAAAGGCTACAGCCTTTCTTCTCTCTCTCTCTCTCTCATGTTTTTCTATACTTGTAGGAAACTCCTGGTTACACCAGCCCACAGGGGATTATTGTGTCCGTCGTGCAGGGAGGGGCTGGGTGGGGTGGGAGGGGCTGGGTGGGGAGGGTGGGGAGGGGCTGGGTGGGGAGGGTGGGGAGGGGCTGGGTGGGGAGGTTGGGGCTGGGTGGAGGGGTGAGAGGGGTGGGGCTGCGTGGGGAGGGGCTGGTCACCCCGTGGTGCCCTTATAAAACTCAACGTTTAACCTACTCACGCCGGCTTGTGCCCGCCCTCACAGTCGTGCATATTTGCGGAATACACCACGCCGCCGTTGACCCTGGCCATTGACCGAGCAACCCGACGTTCCTACCAGCTCCCTCCGCAGGAATGTGTTTGTCTCACGAGACAAGCGTCACGGGCCCAAATTCTCCTGGCCGGTCTCTGCAATGCGTGTGTCCATGTACGTACGTTGAACTTTTTCGCAACCGCGCGTAGCCAACTGCGCTAATCGGAGGTGCCACGGCTCAGCAGGGTAACAGCGACGCCGCTTTGCCGTTGTGACCTCACCTTGTTGATGTCGGAGATGAGCTTGCCGTCGCGCGGCGTGTACACGATCTGGTTGTTGGCCCTCATCTTGCTCTGGATCGTGAACAGCTGCACCTCCAGGTTCCCCTTCTCCATGAACCTGCGCCGCGCACCGCCACGCTCCCCGCGTGAGTGCCCCACGCTCGCGCACGCCTCAACTCCTCGGTGCCAAGCACACCGGCTGTGGTGGCGCCCTCCACATTTGGTCTATTCATAGTCTTTGGTTCTTTCGGTAAAGTCACGTAGGTAGAAAATAATAGATCATTATTATTTTCTACCCACGTGACTTTACCGAAAGAGCCAAAGAGTGTGGATTCCTGCAGTCACGAAAGCTTCAAATCAAGATTTGGTCTATTGTCCACAGCCCCTCCCCTCGATTACCCGTAGCCCCTCCCCTCGGTCCCCCCCACAGCCCCTCCCCTCGATTACCCGTAGCCCCTCCCCGCGGTCCCCCTACAGCCCCTCCCCTCGATTACCCGTAGCCCCTCCCCTCGGTCCCCCTCACAGCCCCTCCCCTCGATTACCCGTAGCCCCTCCCCGCGGTCCACCCACAGCCCCTCCCCTCGATTCCCCGTAGCCCCTCCCCTCGGTCCCCCCACAGCCCCTCCCCTCGATTACCCGTAGCCCCTCCCCTCGGTCCCCCCCACAGCCCCTCCCCTCGATTACCCGTAGCCCCTCCGCTCGGTCCCCCCACAGCCCCTCCCCTCGATTACCCGTAGCCCCTCCCCTCGGTCCCCCCACAGCCCCTCCCCTCGATTACCCGTAGCCCCTCCCCTCGGTCCCCCCCACAGCCCCTCCCCTCGATTACCCGTAACCACTCCCCTCAGTCCCCCTACAGCCCCTCCCCTCGATTACCCGTAGCCCCTCCCCTCGGTCCCCCTCACAGCCCCTCCCCTCGATTACCCGTAGCCCCTCCCCGCGGTCCACCCACAGCCCCTCCCCTCGATTACCCGTAGCCCCTCCCCTCGGTCCCCCCACAGCCCCTCCCCTCGATTACCCGTAGCCCCTCCCCTCGGTCCCCCCCACAGCCCCTCCCCTCGATTACCCGTAGCCCCTCCGCTCGGTCCCCCCACAGCCCCTCCCCTCGATTACCCGTAGCCCCTCCCCTCGGTCCCCCCACAGCCCCTCCCCTCGATTACCCGTAGCCCCTCCCCTCGGTCCCCCCCACAGCCCCTCCCCTCGATTACCCGTAGCCCCTCCGCTCGGTCCCCCCACAGCCCCTCCCCTCGATTACCCGTAGCCCCTCCCCTCGGTCCCCCCCACAGCCCCTCCCCTCGATTACCCGTAGCCCCTCCCCTCGGTCCCCCCCACAGCCCCTCCCCTCGATTACCCGTAACCCCTCCCCTCGGTCCCCCCACAGCCCCTCCCCTCGATTACCCGTAGCCCCTCCCCTCGGTCCCCCTCACAGCCCCTCCCCTCGATTACCCGTAGCCCCTCCCCGCGGTCCACCCACAGCCCCTCCCCTCGATTACCCGTAGCCCCTCCCCTCGGTCCCCCCACAGCCCCTCCCCTCGATTACCCGTAGCCCCTCCCCTCGGTCCCCCCCACAGCCCCTCCCCTCGATTACCCGTAGCCCCTCCGCTCGGTCCCCCCACAGCCCCTCCCCTCGATTACCCGTAGCCCCTCCCCTCGGTCCCCCCACAGCCCCTCCCCTCGATTACCCGTAGCCCCTCCCCTCGGTCCCCCCCACAGCCCCTCCCCTCGATTACCTGTAGCCCCTCCGCTCGGTCCCCCCACAGCCCCTCCCCTCGATTACCCGTAGCCCCTCCCCTCGGTCCCCCCCACAGCCCCTCCCCTCGATTACCCGTAGCCCCTCCCCTCGGTCCCCCCACAGCCCCTCCCCTCGATTACCCGTAACCACTCCCCTCAGTCCCCCTACAGCCCCTCCCCTCGATTACCCGTAGCCCCTCCCCTCACTCCCCCACAACCCCTCTACTCAGTCCCCCCCAGTCCCCCCCCCCCACGATCCCTTTTGTGCAGCCATCGAACCAAGACGGTCTCACCGCATCGCGTGGCGCTTTCGGGTGCGCTTGTGTGGCCGTCTGGAACGCTCTTCCTTCCGATATTAGGAAGCCACTGGCAGCCATGCACTTTGAACTCGTCATATAGATTGATGACTCAATTCTTTAGAACTGCTCTTTTGTGTTGAGTTTGTTGTCCTTCCCCCGCACCTCTGATTAAGTACGATGCAAAAGAAGTTTAACATGCATAACAAAGCCCCCGCCTTTTCCGGTGTAGCAGGCACCGCAAGAACGCAGCAGCGCCTCGCTTAACGAGCGAGAAACATTCCGCGAAAACTGCTTGGTAAGCGAAAAAAACTATCGTCGTTATCCCATTGACTCACTCCCACGTTTATCAGCCGAGATACGTTTCAGCACCCAACATTTTCCACCCTTTAACAACTTTTTTTTACATTAGAAAATGAAAATTATAATTTTTAAAATGAATTAAACATCAAATGTAACACGTGCCACCCATGAAGAACCACAGTGCTTGCAGGTGCCTGGCATGTGCTGTTTGAAGGGTAGGTGATGTTAGTGGGTGGAGGGAGCAGCAGGGACCATGCAGGACCGCTGGTTCAACTATCACTCGTCACTGATGGCTGGGAATTGAACTAGGGTTGGTGGGCTCATAGCCACGATGCGGTGATACGAAATGCAGCGCGATTTCCTGGCCTCTAGGATCTGCAATAATCCCGTGCCGTTTTGGGAACAAATGGGTCTAAATTCAAAAATATCGTTATAGCGGATTCTCGTAGGAAGATCGCTCGTTAAACGAGACACGCTTGTAAAGCGTGTGTTGCGCTTGGCGCGTGCGTATACGTGTATGTGTTTGGGGAGCGGTAGTGCAGTGGTCAGCATGCTGCGCTACGAACCCAGAGACCTGAGTTCGATTCCCGCTCACGGCCAACACCAGTGACGAATATCTGAACCGGTCCTCGGCCTGCCCTAGGTCGACTCAGCCTCGAATGAGTACCTGGTGCGGTGTGTAAACATCGCCACTGGGGAGGCAAAGGCGGCCCAGGCATGGTGCTGGCCACCCACCCCCTCGTGTGCCATGCCGGCCTTCATAGGTGCTCGCTAACAGCACTTTCCTCAAACAGTCTGTTAAGGCTACACGGGGGGGACCTTTGTCTTCGTGGATGAGTAGCGGAGCTTACTTGGGCGGCTTCTCCACCGTGCGGTAGGTGTTGAAGGCCTGCAGCTGCTGCTGCACTCCCGTCAGGGAGTTGACGAACTTGCGATTGTTGAGCACCATGATGGTCTGCTCGATCCACTGCAGCAGCTCGGAGGCCAGCGACTCGTACTTGGTGATCATCTTGTCCGTCTCGATGGCGTTGTCCAAAACCTTTGCGGGTCAGACGCCGGTCAACGTGCAGGGCATTTGCAAATTATGGGGGATGGGGAGGGGGGGAATTAAAAACTAATTTTTATTATAAAAGGTAAGGCCCACTGAGCTATATAGCTCTCTTTCAGAAGCAACCTGAGCAAATCACAAATGAAAGCTCAACAAAGTTGCTCATCACGTGGAAATACTCTAAACGCGTGTTTTTAAATATGGGGGGAAAAACTGGAGGACCTGGAAAAAAATCCACGTGACCAAGGGGGAGAGAGAACACGCAAACTTCAAATATACAACAGGCGTCAGGGTCGGGATCTGACTCACGCGCTCCTGCATACCAGGCGCAGGAGTCAACATCTCGCCACCGTGGCGCCCTAATAATAACAGCAACGGTTTCAACTTGCGATGCACAGCCACAGTCTTCGCTCGCTCTCATAGACAGGAGGAAACGCAGACGAGCAGAAAGGCAGCAGCAGCAGCCACGCGGTAGGCTGCCACTACATTTTCTTACAATAAACAAGTAGGTCCCACCGGTGTTAGCCACGTCCTGGAATCAAACTCAAATCAACGGGGGGGGGGGCGGCACATATGGCATTGCGCAAACCACTGTGCCACCGCTCCCCACGTTGGCTTCACTCGTATGGCAAGAGATATCGGCATACACGATATTCGCAGGGTTTCAGATGCAGTAGTAGGAGTATTACACAGGTTTTGTGGATACATAATAGAGGTTTTTTGGGTTAGATCGCGTAAATATAAATGTGTCGTTAAACCATCACCACCCGACACAGCCAATCGGCACACCCGTGTGTTGGAGAGTCAACCAAAAACATTTACCAGTCGAGTACGACGTTACACATTAATATTTACGCGATCTAACACACAAAAAAACCACCCTCTTACGCATAATACTGGTCGATAAAAACCTACGTGTTAAACTCGAATGAATGAGTGTTTACACGTGGGGGGGGGGGGAACCGGACACTCCGTGAAAACCGACACGTGCTACGGAGTCAACACTCTATCCCACACAGATGGAACAGACGGAGCCCGCATCTTGCTCTACCGCCTACTCCCGGTAAGCCACGGAATGGCCCCTTCTCGCTGCCCACGCTGCCGTTTCAGTGCGCGCACAGAGAGCACATTCAATAATTGATCACAATATCCAACTTCCACAATGTGTACCAGATACCATTCAAATACATGGCGCCACACAAATCGTGCGGAGATTCATTTGCCGATCTCTCCCCGTTGGGAGATGGGTCACGGGGCAAGAGTGTTGGCCACAGCGTGAAAACATCGGGGTAATACCGCATAGTGTTGGCATTGGATAGAGGAAAATTAGCAATTGTCAGGCCCGCAACATGCGTGTATGTTTGGTGAAACTCTTTCGCACCATACTAAGCCAACCGTGCGAATCGGAGGTGCGAGAATCGGTACTCCTAGCATGAGAGTACAATACACACTGAAGACTGTTAGGTCTGGTCTTCATAGGTGGTCACCAATACGCTCCGCATTGGTGGTATCTCAACTGGAGTGTGTCGGTGACCACAATGTGCACTCCGACTGATTCACCTCCAATATCGATCAGTTTCACAGGCTGTATATTTGGAGTTTGCATGTTCTTCCTCTGGTCGTGTGGATTTTTCTCCGGGTCCTCCGGTTTTCCCTCCACATTTAGATGCTGTAAATTTCCACGCGATAAGCCACTTCGTTGGACTATCATTTGTGGCCAGGTCACTTCTGAAAAAGGGGCTATATAGCGTCAGCGGGCTTCACCTGGTAAAATCAAAAATAGCTTATAGTTTAGTTTTCTCTTTAGAATGTCCTTTGCTCACCTTGCCAATGCGTTTGCCCTCCACGGCCAGGGCCTTCATCTTGGAGAAGTAGTGGTAGAAGGTGACGACATAGGTGATAATGGACTTCTCGTCCGGTTGGTCCACGTTGATATCTGTGGGACATTGTTGTCATCGTCATCGTCAGCAGCAGCATTATCATATTCTTAGGTTTTTTCGGTAAAGTCACGTAGGTTAAAATTAATCACTTGATACAGCTATTGTGCTGTGACGGTTCCACCTGAAGACGGAGGCTTGTATTGCCTCCGAAACGTCGTGATTTTTATTTTTTATTTTTATTTTACTTTTATTTATTTAAATGTTTTACCTACGTGACTTTACCAAAAAAACCTAACAATATGAATCCTTGCAGTCACGAAAGCTTCAAATCTAGCAGCATTATCCTCAGCAGCAGCTGCACAGCAGCAGCAGCAGCATCATCACAATCAGCTTCATACAAGTGGTGACGATGATGACAGTCGTGAAAATGTGTTAAGATCATTTCTTACGGTGATACAGGTGGTGGCACCTTTAGCTAAAAGGTTACGATGATGGCAATGATAATGCCGCTGCTCCTCCTACTACTGCAACTGCGGATGATGATGATGATAATGATGATTATAATGTATTTACCGATAATGCTGTTGCGGCTACTGCTCCTACTACTAATGATAAAGATGTTATTCCTGCCGATACTAATGTTACTACGCCTGATGACGATGGTGACAGTTGCTTTAATGGCACTGCTGCTCCTACCACTGCTTCTATTCTTGCTGCTGATGCTAACACCTTTACTGCTCTTAAAACTACTGACGATGATTTTTTATATTTTATCGCGGTACACATGCAAACTTTGGGCTAATGCGAGCTCACGTTGGACCAACCTTGGCTCAACGTTGGTTGACGTTGACCCAACGTTGGTGATTGGTGAACCAACTTTGGTGCAAAATTCGCCTAACATTGACCCAACACTGGAGCAACGTTGGTTGACGTCGGACCGGTGTCGACCCAGTGTTTGCACGTTCATGTTGCTCCAACGTTGGGTCAATGTTCGACCGACGTTGGCCCAACGTCAGCACGTCTACTGAGAAGTATGACGCTGGCGAGTGAACGAGTTGCCCGGGAGCGCTCCGGGGATCGTCATCGCCCCCCCCCCCCCCCCCCCGATACCTTCGGGATCGAGCAGCTTGGTGAGCCCCAGCTTCTGCTCGGCGAGGTTGAAGGCATTCTGCAGGTTGTGGTGAGCGTTGGACTTCTTGAGCCGCTCGTAGTCAATCAGGTCGGGCCTGTGGTGGGGGGGGGGCAATGGCCAGCGCTGTAGGATCTCTCGCTCCCCACAAGAGCTCCGCTCACTTGTTTCTGTTTCATTTGCGGACGATTACCAACTCTCCATGCCGCTCACGCACGCGCATTCTCTACACGCAACACATCCACTGCATTTCGATTTAAAGCTTTCGTGACTGCAGGGATTCATCTTCTTGGTTCTTTCGGTAAAGTCACGTAGAAGGGAAATAATAAAATAATGAAAATAAAACATAATAAGATAAAATTCTCACGACGTTTCGGCCACAACGCAAGCAGCCGTCCTCAGGTGAAGAACAGGGCTGTCCCTTCTACGTGACTTTACCGAAAGAACCAAGAAGATCCACTGCATTGTTCACGAGCAACCGTCCGTACCGCCCATGGAGTCAATCCCATGTCCATTAGTCACTTCACTGCATTGTCAAGACGGCTCTTGGTGTGAATCTCCCGAGAAAGAGTGCCCCACTGCTAAGCATGCAAACAATTACTCGAAACCATTCAATTTGTAGTCATCTCTTGTCCACAAGTAATCCACTCCATTGTACACGATCAACTATGCACCCCACTTGCGTTGTGCTACATCTATGATCGACAAGTAATTCCTCTGCGTTGCAGGCAAACAACTCTCCATGCCACTGACATCATCGCAAATCTCTCTCGATATAAGAACCCCACTACCACTCTCATATTGATTAACTGTGACGAACCCAACCAGTAATATGTGCTGCTTGTTTTCAAATTACGGTAATCCACCATAATTTATATGACTACATTAATTCCCCCTCTGATCTTCGCACCTGATAGGTGCATGGTGATGACATCGCCTTACTTTATTTAAAACCGGAAGCAGGAGGACATCTTCAGGATTCTGGCAAATCACCTGATGAAGCTGGTTGTAATCACCAGCGAAACATCGTACTCAAATTGTAAATGTTGTGGGTTTACTCTCCAACACACCGGTGTGCTGAACTAGTAACTAATTGGCACGCTTTGTTCACGTGACAAACCTTACCAATTGGCTGTGTCGGGTGGTGGTGGGTTAACGACAAATTAATATTTGCGTGATCTAACCGATCTCACATCCATAAGAAGGACAGTCTGTTGAACAACCAAATCTCCCGAGCAATCACGTCGCAGTGTAAACCTTTATACACAAGAACCCCACTCGATGGTAGACACATTATTTGGCCACGCTGTTACACATTGGCAGCGGTGCACAAGCACAAACAACCAAAATGAAAGCTCATGCTAGTGAATAACACTGCCTTAGAATGAACTATGCATAATCGGCGAGTGTTGAGCCTTTCACTCCGAGACGATCAACTCTCCGTGCCAATTGCGCTCGAGTAAACATCCCGTCGACCTCGTGTCGATGGCCTGTAACACATTTAGCCAAGACTATGGGTGAGCCGGATGGCGCGTACTCACGTTACCAAACTATAGACGCGTTCTAACCTTTCAGCTGCTTCCTCAATAATCACCCGTATGAAGTAAATGTGATTATTCCTGGCTCCAGTCGCCCACACACACACACGCGCAATCAACCACCCACCCATCCTCCTCAGCCAAAATGACTCATTGCAATTACAATCCGGATTTATACGGCTTTTATAAACAACCGTATTTCGCGATCCTGCATGATTGTCAATGCGACCAACGTTATCCATATTAGAGGTTTTTTTGGGTTAGATCGCGTAAATATAAATGTGTCGTTAAACCCGCCACCACCCGACACTGCCAAAGAGTAAGGTGTGTCACGTAAACAGAACGTGCCAATTCGTCACTGGTGCAGCACACCGGTGTGTTGGAGAGTAAACCCACAACATTTTACAATCTGAGTACGACGTTTCGCTAGTAATTACAACCAGCATCATCAGGCAACAGCCAGAATTGTGGAGAAATCCCCCTCCTGTTTCGGTCTTAATTAAGAGGGCGGTAAATGTGATGTCATCACTTGTAAGCCAATCAGGTGCGGAGGCGAGAGGTGGCGGAGTGGGGGATACAATCATAGTGGTCGCAAAAGTGGTCACCAGAAAATATGTTTAAATGAAATTCTCAAGTGGCCCCGTGACACGAAGTGCAATCTCCAACTCGAATTGTCCACTCCGTTTATCGTGCTATGATTAAGGGCCCATTGCCCGAAACGTCGCCTGTTGTATGCTCTTCGTTGTAAAGGCACACAGGATTGTCGACGAATGTGTTAAGTTTATTTTTTACTAACCATAGCAGCAGTCATATTCTTAGGTTTTTTTCGGTAAAGTCACGTAGGTAAAAATTTTAAATTAATAAAATAAAATTAAAATAAAATTAAAATCACGACGTTTCGGAGGCAACACAAGCTTCCGTCTTCAGGTGGAACCGTCACAGCACGATTGCTGTATCAAGTAAATGAGAAATTCCAAGAGATCCGACCTTGTATATACAGTATACTGGTTGAGGGGACCAGGGTAGGCCCCTGGATAGGAGTTTTTTTATTATTATTATAAGGTTGGTGCGGCTTAAGCTACGGCTAGTCTACATAACAAAGGACTGAGCCTTTGTTATGTAGACTGGTTGAGAGGGGGAGGTGCCAGAGTTGTTAATGTGCGACTGCTGCTAATAGCAGCAGTCGTGTTATTACACAGGATTGCAGATACATTCCGAGTTGTATTATCATAATTATTGAGACACGCGTGATGCTGCGATGAAGCTAATAGCTCAGTGGGCTTTACCTGGTAAGATAAAAAATAGCGGAGTTTTATTTGTCTATTTTTTAAAGTAATTTGTTTACCTTTCCCATACTTTGCCCTCCTATCGTGTGTTTGTATTGTTTGTTGTTGTCACGATCCGACCCCGTGCCCCGTGACTCGACATCTGCGCAAAAAGAGCTTTACAGCTCATCGGATTCCTCCAGTATAAATATCCCGACGATTCTGATGTGGAGCGTGCGGGGGGCGACGACGACGCACCGGTGCTTGTGGATGAGCGCGTTGAAGGCCAGGCCGTCCCTCCAGCTCGTGCTGAAGTTGTGGATGTTCACGTTGGTGTACCTGCGGGGCAAGACAACGGCGGTCGCATCAACGGCACGACCCTCAACAGCGGCACCGCTCCATCGCCCACCCGCACGCTTTCACCGTTTGCAAAAACAAAACGCGCCGAGCCGCTGATCCATCCACCATCCTCCACCCCCCCTCATCCACGTCTCAGTAATTCCAGGAAAGCCCTTCTGAGGTTCATGAGCGTCCTGCCCAGGAAGTTTGGCCAGGCCCTTGTGTATTCTTCTCGCGTGGGGGAAGGCACGCTGAGTACCAGAGGAAAAACCTCGTTCACAAGGAGGGGAATCTGTCAATCTGCTCTGCACTGTGCATATCAACATTTTCGCTTCCTCCCAAGTTTGTATGTTGAACTTCTTTTGCACCGTACATCACCAACTATGCTAATTGGAGGTGCAGGGAAAGGACAACGAACTAAACACAAAAAGCAGTTCTAAAGAAACTAGTTTTAAATCTTATTAGGATGCCACTGGAGCATAGCTCCAGTGGCATCCTAATATCGGGAGGAACGTTCCAGACGGCCGCAGAAAGACATCTGAAAGCGAGCAATGCGGTGACCGTCTTTGTTCAATGGTTAGCCATGCTCTGATATCATCGTCTGATATCAATCAGCGCGGCACCAATTCATCGATGTCCTTTCTTTGAAAGCGAAACAGCTCAGCTGAGATTCCTCAACAATGCTGATCCATCCACCGTCCTTGATCCCAAGTATTGTAAGTGCCATGAATGCGTAGAAATCAAATTTACTCACTATATTTGGCATTAAGCGCTAATTTAAATGTTCGTTTTTTTAAAATACATAATTAGAATTTGTTAGCAGTTTTAACCATTTTATGTTTTCATGCACAATTGTTTTTGTGTTAGAACACAACGGATGACCTGTCCACCACCTGACGTAGTCAAGAAAATAAAATTATCACGCGATGTGCAAGCAATTAGCAATGCGCCAATTAATAGTGCATCAGCTCACTTTAAAGTTGAAATACAATTCTCACAACCAATATTCAGCAGCAATAAGCTACGACATCTCACTTGAATCTAATTGATTTAGTTCTGCAAGGTGGTGAAGGGCTTTACAAGCGTAAATTTGGCCACACAATGACGTGGCCCTAACCGAGAGATCAACTGTGAGTCATAACATTGGCTGCAAAAACCCACGTGTTCAAATGTTTATTTACATAAAAATAACATAGAAAAAGGAAATCTTAAGGTGAGGTCCCGGCCGCACCAGTGCTCGGTACAGGCCAGCCACCACCGCACTGAACCCCCTCCACCCCCCCGTGACCCTTGTGAAAACGACGGGAGTACGGCATGTACTTTAGGAAGAGCTCCTGCATAATTTAAATGAGAAGCGTCAAGTACACTGGGCGCATGTCTCACGAGGGTGTGGCACGCAGAATATTCCACAGCTCCGAGGGAGCGGCTGCATAGCAGTGGGGCGGGAGGGGGCAGCAATGTTGACGGGCGTAAATCCAAACGTATAACCCCCCCCCCCCCACACACACACACATCTGCTCGAAACACCTCAAACACAAATATGATGATGATGATGATTTTAATAAAAATCAGCAGCAGCAAAAAAGGCGTTTCGTCTTGTCTACTGAGGCCACACTGCCAGAGAAGAGCTGAGAGCTCACGAGGGAGAGGGGGCGGAGAGATTACATCTACCCCCCTCACAAAGAATAAATTCCCTCCAAAAAATAAAAAATTCGGGACAGAGCATGTGTGTGTGGGGTTTGTTTTTTTCATTCCACAGGATGCAGCTGCTGAGAAGAATTGGCTGGCAATGACTCAGTCTGGCAGAGATGCCTTCTGGCAATTATTGTGCCGGCTTAATCGCCCTCCGAACAAACCGTGCCCGCCAAATTCTCTGGAATGCGATTGTGAACAAAGCTTTTCCTGGGTCGCTTGAGGATTCAGGCACTGTACGTGGGGGGCAGCGAGGCTTACTTGGGTCGGGGCTGTGTGAGCATTGAATTCCTCCCAAATTATTTTGCGCCTAGATGAAAGGGCTTTGTACGCATTAATGTTTTTGATGGATGTTCACTGATATTTTAACCACCGCAAAGTCAAATTTATTTTGGTGGACTTTAAACACTCTCAATCTATGAGGCCTCAACGACTCGGGTCTGGGGACGGCCTTTTGCGGAATGGATCTGTGTAGGAAGCTTGGATAATTGCTGCTCGAGTCATCCGTGTGTGAACGGACGGTGGAGTGCCTACAGAAAATCCATAGATGTGAGCGCAGAAACACTCAGAATTCCAGTCTAGCAAACTTGGTACTCAGCAACACCCAATAACACTAACCTTGACCCTAACATCAACCATAAGCATAACACGAACCCCAATCCTGACTTTGAGTGTGTATTTGTAAGTGTGTGTGCTTGTGTATATGTGCAACTGTGTGTTTGTGTTTATCTGTGTTGCTGAATTAAGTGGGGAGCGGTACTGCAGTGGTCAGCACATTACGCTATGAACCCGGCGACCCGAGTTCAATTCCCGCTCACGACCAAAAACAGTGGCAAATATATGAATCGGTGCTGGGCCTCCCCTAGGTCGACTCAACCTTACAAGAGTACCTGGTGCAATGTGTAAAACATCAGCACTGGGGAGACTAAGGCAGCCAGGCGTGGTGTTGGCCACCCACCCCATCGTGTGCCGCTCGCTAACAGCACTTGCCCCAACATTCTGTTAAAGCTACACGGAGGATCTTTGCCTTTTTTTGCTGAATAATTGGCACATTTGCCACAACAGCCGGCAAAATATCAGATATCTTGCGAGGGCCTGACGCTGTTGATCATGCGGAGATTGGGCCCTCAGCTGCAGATGCCACCAGACCATGGAAGTTGGTCACGTGCCCGCTTACCCGGCCGTTTTCATCTGACACCACAGCAGCAGAGCGTCCTTGGCCGACTTGGTCTCTCTGTTGTCCTCGGTCTCGACGTGAATGTCCTGGATCTGTTCCCACAAAGCCAGGCAAACCATCATCCCGCTTAGCAGTCGATACGTAAGTCACAAACAAATTGCTCGTGAAAGACCCGACAACGCAGAGGACACCTGGCTTCGATCTTCCGCGAAGTTTCCGGTGCACAACCCGCACACAAACCATGGCAGCAGAAAGCGGTTACTTGAAGAGGCACGTGGACAATTAACAACTCTCCGATGTGCCACTGTGGACACCCAGAACAGACCGTGGGACGTGTTACGACTCCATGTACGATTCACAAATACAAAGGAGGCGTCATCACTATCGTACGCTCTGCTACTCCTGATGCCAATATCTGGCTAAAACACCTCAATGTAAAATTATAGTTGTTGCTCTCCATCAACATCAGCCATATGAAGAAGAATAAGTTAAAATATCGAAGTCTTTGCACAACTTCTTGAGTTGCGACCGCATCTAGATGCTTTTTAAAATGTTCTTAAATGAAACAAAATTGTTAAACGTGTGCCGATCGCTTTCCACCATACCGACGTGCTGAAGAAACAATATTTTTACACGTTTGTTGACGTAACGACTGTGTTCGTTTATTTGGCGGTGTTGGATGGAGGAGGATGTATGACACACATTGGTATTTCCGCTCACGCAGTGATCTGACACAAAATTATAAATGACGGGTCTCGCTTTGCAGTGACTTACATTGCGCTGTAAAGGCTAACTATGAAAAGTCTATCAATTTATTTTCTCTCTCTCTCTATCGTCAAACAAGCAAATTGAGACAGCAAAATTAAAGAAAACTTTTTTAAAAATCGTTCAGTGTTTTGGGAGTAACGTCAGAAGGCGACATGCGCAGTCCATCTCTGATGATGTCGTCCGTCCGTCCACGTTCTCTCAGGCCACCGCCACCATCCGTGGCCTGGTCCCCCCGCATCAATGTCAGCGGACGAAGCGATGGCCGGGAACAGTCACAACTTGCTCGTTCGCAACCACGGGTGCGAAAATAGCGCGGCCACGTGACGTGTGAAGGACGCGTGTGTGCAGGGAGGAGGAGGAGGAGGCATGTTAGGAAGACCTGGAAGCGGAGGATGATGGTCCAAATGAGGCCCAGGATGAGGCGGTGATTGCCGTCCACGATGTCGTGTGAGCCCATGTTCTCCAGGTGGACCTTCTGCTCCTTGAGGAACTGTAGGGACTTGTCCACGTTCTCCAGGCAGTGGATCCGCATCTTGCCCTTGGTCGGCTTCGGCTAAAGTTCCGTGACAAAGACGAAAGATCCCCCCCCATCCCGTTTAGCCTTAACAAAAAACGTTTTAGAGGAAAGTGCTGTGAGCGAGCACCTGCCTGTGAAGGCCGTCACGGCACACGAGGGGGGTGGGTGGCCAGCACCTTTGTCTCTCGAGTTGCGATTTTTACACTTTTTTAATTTTCCCAGCTAAGGCCCACTGAGCTATTAGCTGATTTTTTTCAGAAGCGACCTGCCCAGAAATGCTAGCTCAACGAAGTGGCTAATTACGTGGACATTGATAGCAGCAGACAAATACTCTCAACGCATGTTTATAAACGTGGAGGGAAAAACCGGAAGACCCGGAGAAAAATCTATGCGACCATGGGAGAGAGAGACACGCAAACTCCAAATATACATGCACCGGGGTCAGGATGGAACCCACGACCTCCTGTATACCAGGCGAGGTATACAGGTCACTGCACCGGGTACTCATTTGAGGCCGAGTCGACCTAGGAGAGGCCTAGGATCGGTTCAGATAATCGTCACTGGTGTTGGCGTTGGGTTCATAGCGCAATACGTTCACCGCAGCAATACTGCTCCCCATGATACAGCCACGATCACCAACACCGTCATCATCATGATCATCATCGCTAAATCATTATCAACATCATCTTCATCAACACATTATCATGAAACACCAAGAAACATTATCTTCACTGTTATCAATATCAAGGTGACGATTGTTTTCTATTTTATCACCAATACTGCTATTTTAGAGATCGTCGTTGGAATTTCCAACATCACCATTCTAATCATGAGGATCCATCCTCAACATCAATGCCTTCATGAACACCGTTATGCACCTACATATGTATATTAATGTTGTTGAAGTGGCTTTGAATGCGGTTTACACACACGAGCTGAATTTATATGATTTTTGAGTTACCATATAAGAATAAATTGTACTCGGTGATAATAAAAAGAAAGCAATGGTAATGTCAATTATTTATCCAGGAAAATCTCACCGAGTCTCAAGACGTTATCACGAGAGTGCTGGCAACAAATACAGCTCAAGCCTTTCCACCCCTTTGTTGGATCATCAGTGAGCCGAGCCCAGACTACAGAGTGCCATGTGAAAGGGAAGAGTGGTGTGTGTATGGGTAATGAACCCACGAAAGTTAACCCGTGGTATTATGATTACTGTTATCGCCGTGCCGATGGTGGTCATCATAAACTAAACTATAAACCAAACTATTTTTACTTTACCAGGTAAGGCCCACTGAGCTATGTCGCGTTTTTTTAGAACCAGACTGGCCACAAATGATCGCTCAACGAAGTGGCTTATCATGTCGAAATGTATAGCAGCGAAATACTCTAAACGCATGTTTCTAAAGCTGGAGGGAAAAGCCGGAAGGACCCGGAGAAAAATTCACACGACCACGGGGAGAACATGCAGACTCCAAATACACAGGCGTCAGAGTCAGGATCGAACCCATGACCTCCTGTACATCAGACGAGATAGTTAACATCTCGCCACCATCGCCATAATTAAGTAGCGCAATTGCTGGGTTTCCAATTCCCTTTCATCAGTTGAGTAAAATGTATTTTATTCGGACGAAACTCTTTGGAAAAAGTCCTTCCCAAAAAGATCTGTCACGATTACAAACAGATTATTTTTTTCTATGTATGTACATACAACTTGTTTTGCACCGTACGTAGCCAATTGCACGAATCGGAGGTGCGGGAAATCGGAGGTTCCGATATACGAAAAAAATTCGTAAATACCATTCAGACGAATTGACTGGACATTTTGTTGTTTTTTTAAATCTTTTATATTAAGTTCACTTGCTTGCGTGCAAATCTTTCGGTCGTTTTTTAACCCACTTCCCGTGATCCAATCGAGCTGACATTTTCCACACAGACTCGTTGTGCATGACAATTTATTTTCGTGAAAAAAAATTCCTAAATTTTACACTTTTTAGGAAAAAATAATGGTATGACTGTGTGTGTGGGGGGGGGGGGTCTGTTTGTATGTATGTGCGTGCAAGTCTTCATCCTGGTTCTGGTTGTATGTGCTTGCGTGTGTGAGACGAGGTGGCCGAGTGGTTAAGGCGATGGACTGCTAATCCATTGTGCTCTGCACGCGTGGGTTCGAATCCCACCTTCGTCGCGATTTGTTTTTTAAATCCTTTATATTAAGTTCGCTTGCTTGCTTGCGCGCTTATGACCGTGCAAATCTTTCGGTCGTTTTTTTACCCACTTCCCGTCATCCAATCGAGCTGACATTTTGCACACAGACTCGTTGTGCGTGACAATTAATTTTCGTGAAATTTTCTTCCAAAATTTTACACTTTTTAGGGAAAAAATTTTATATGTAATTACCAATTGCTTAATGGTGGCAGGCAATCATCTGACCCATAGGTGGCAGCCATCTCAAGCCAGAGGACGAGAGGACTCTAGCCGCCACGCATATAAATGATTTATAGTGAAAAACTTTGTTTGTACGGGTTAATTTTTTAATAAGCTACGCGTGACAGATTCTACCCAATTACAAAATAAAAAATTACGTGCGGGGGCTTAAGAGCGACGAGGGCACCGTTGGTTGGCAGCGCTGCGCTACGAACGGGGGGGGGGGGCCCCGGCCGGCTACGCCGAGTCCGGTTTCACGGCTCACGGCAAACAAATCGCTCGACCCTTCACCAACGCACACTGACCAGCGTGGGGAAGTATGGTCAAACAACGGCCAAAAAAAAACGCCGATGCGGCGTGGACAGGTGTTCATCGGCAAGCGGTGAACGACGATTATTATTGTTGTTGTTGTTGTTCCAATCGCGACGCTGTTGCGAAAACGGCGAACGTCGCCGTCACACGCACGGCGGCAAGCCAGCGGCAGCCGGTTAGAAGAGGAAACATTCCACGATGGAAAACGGCTAGTTAGCCAACTTACATGAACAACAACAGACACAAACAACACATGTAACATGTATACTCAAATAAGCAAGAGTTATTCCTTGATTGGGCTTATTTTTAGTCCGCACGAGTCCACCGTCGAGATTTATTAACGCTGAAAGGCATTTATTTTAACAAAGGCGGAGGGGGGAGGTGAGTGCAGTGATGTTAGTTTGACTGGCCTTGACACCAGCACAATGAAGCACCACTTCTAACAACATCCCAATGGGATTTGTAACTTCCAGACAAATAGTTATATTGCCACGACGAATGTTTAGTTCTTCTACGGCACGCAATATTGTCGATGTAGTCATGGGTAACGGCTACGAGCCATCTCTTTTCCTTCAAGGCAATTTCTCTCTTTTTTTTAAGCAGATTAATTTACCCTTTCCAAGAACAGGCTCTGTGCGAAGATGGCTTATCATTGCAGACCACAACCCTGCACAAGAGTGGTACGTTCCGAGTTACCCACCCCTCCCCATGCCGCTACAAGTTGGTGCCGAACCGTTTGGAATCTTTCAATTCATAGATAAGTTGAGAGGGGGGGGGGGAATGGGGATTGCTCACACAATTTGAACTATATGACATCAACTCCACGTGGTCCTCTACCCCTCCTCTCTGCGCATGTCCAACGGATGGACAGTTTGGCAATCATCTTATCTGGGAAAATGTGGCAACCTCGATCGCTATCTCGAACGATGGAGAAATCGGTTACTCAGTAAAACCAACCAAAGGGGTGCAGCCGTCGGGCCTTGAGAAAGCCCTTCGTCAGGACACGCTGACACTCGTACCAACCAGCGGGCTTCATTAAAACACAAGGGAACCCTCCCCCCCCTCCACTCCCTGCACTACACTGACAGTTACGCCACAGTAATCCACGATTCACTGCCACCGACCGATATGGAAGAGAAAAAACAGTGGCAGCAACGGTTTTTATCCCGGCAGAAAATGACAATCCGAAGAAAAATTCACGACCCCGAGAGTTGTTCGTGGAATGTATTACCCCGTCGATTGTTTGTGTTACGGGCGCTAATGTGTCGTTGGTCACTCGTTAATGTTTGAACGCGAGAGTTGCGCGGCGAATTAAATACTTTAAAAGGTATCTGGCATGAAAGCAATGCCGTAAAAAAATATCAAACTCATTTAGAAGAATCCATCATGGACCGTGTAGTATGAATCTTAAAAAAAACATGCATACACACGCGCACTAAAAAAAGATAATCTAAACATGATTTCACAGAGTCTGCATCGATTTTAAAAAAGCACATTTTGAATGTCATTCTTGAAATGTCAGCTTTTCAATTTATCTTAGAAGTCCATTTTTTTTTAATGTTCAATTCATTAAACCAGACACAGGACTCAATGTCCCGCGAGGGTGAGATTCAGAAACCACACACATTGTTCTGGTCTCAAGGTGACCTATGAGACAGAGTGATAAGGAAACCCCAAAACATTTAACCAAAATGTGTATCCATTTAGCAGAGTGCCACGAGCAGCATACTGATTAAGTGAAGCCACACAGCTGGTGGCGAATCGAAAACTAAACTAAACTATATTCTTGGTTCTTTCGGTAAAGTCACGTAGAAGGGAAACAATAAAATAATAAAAATATAAAACAATAAAATTCTCACGACGTTTCGACTGCAACACAAGCAATCGTCATCAGGTGTGAAATTCCACAGCAAGATAATTTGAAAACTAAACTAGTTTTTATTTTACCAGGTAAGGCACACTGACCTGTGTGGCTCTTTTTCAGAAACGACCTGACGATTACAAATGACAGCTCAACAAAGTGGCTTATCACGTGGACATTTATAGCAGCCAAATACTCTAAATGCATGTTTCTCAATGTGGAAGGAAAAACCGGAGGACCCGGAGATAAAATCCACGCGTCCACAGGTAGAAAGATCGGGATCGAACCCACAACCTCCTCCCATACCAGGCGAGGGAGTTAACATCTCGCCACCGTGGCAAGGAAAGAAAGACGTTCCCTCAGCGTGCACCACATTTCACGAGCGGTGGCTAAACACGTCCAACGCAAATACATCTGGGGGAATAAAAGAAATGGCCGGGAAGTTTATACGATGCAAGGGAGAGGGTAGAGAAAGGGCCACATGCCAGGTAGAGAGGTCAGAGGAGGCACGGGAGAGGAATTTTAAACTCGCCTAATACGAAAGGCCGCTCGTTTATTTAAGGCACGATGGGAGGAGAACGCCGATTTGATGTCTGCAGCGTCAAATAAAAACAAGCAAAATATAGGTCTTTGGGTTATTGGTCGTGAAAGCCTTCGTGTTAAACCAAATAAAAAGAAGCTAATGCTCCGGCTTCCCAGGCTTTACTGAAGGGTCCTAAGGACGAGAGTGGAGGAGTAGGCCAAAATACCCCCGAGAGGTTCTCCAGAACTCTCTCTAGTGGAGGCCCTTCTGCCAGCAGTGGCATGAGACGGATATTGCAGGGATGCACCTTTACCGACTGAAGCGTTTCATTTCTGTCAAAAACATCAACTGCATTTATTTTTTCACTCAAGTTATTTACGTTATATCCTTTTGCCATTTTAAATGTATACAATTTGAATGCGTATTGAACATACCATTTCCCCCGGGGATTGTGAGTATATACGTATGCATTCTTAAACTTCAATATTTGTTTCTGTATGTATAGCGAAATAAACCTCCCGTGAGGCCACGTGCATTCCTGGGTCCTGTCCTGTTAGCGAGCACCTATTGAGGCAGGGGCGGTGTGCTCAGCACCAAGCAATGTATAGACCCCTGAGGTGGACACCATGCAGTCGTAAATTCATTTCAGTCTGAGTTGATCTAAAAAGAGGCCCATGCTGGGTTTTCATCGTAGCCACTACTGATATTTATCTCTATATATATAAAAGGCAAAGATGTGAATATGTGTGTCTGTTCAAAATCTTTAGCGTACTTCCCAACATGCAACAAATTGGAAATTTGCCATGTGGGTACTTTCCAGACTGCACACCATGCACAAATTATGAAAATATATTTTTGGGGGGGGGGGGGGGGGTGGGAGCTCAATAATGCATATATTTTTTGCACGGCAAGTGAGCTGTGATGTCAAATCTGTCATGTGACCCGCGCATGTGGGAGCGTAACGCATTGTAGTGTGGCGGTTAGCGGGCCGCGCTACGAACCCGGCGACCCGAGTTCGATTCCCGCTCACGGCCACCACCAGTGACGATTATCTGAACTGGTCCTGGGCCTCCGCTAGGTCGACTCAGCCTCAAACGAGTAACTGGTGTGGTGTGAACATCGCCGCTGGGGAAGCAAAGGCGGCCGGGCGTGGTGGATCCAAGTCCCGGGCGAAGCCGGGTAGTACAGCTAGTACTGTATATGGCTTTGCATTCAAGTCTAAATACTGTGTTGTTCGGAAAAATGGAAGGAACCAGAAAGAGAGGAAGACCTAAGAGAGGATGTCTTGATGGATACGAGCGATTGGTGCCGGAGAGATGTGGCACTGCTTTAGCACATTGGCACAAGACAGAGGAAAGTGAAAATAAAATGACGAGCTGTGCAGTGGACACCGACCGGCTCTCTGCCCATGTATCGTGATGATGATCCAAGTGAGCCTCCATAGAGGAGGCTCGTGAAGGATGCTACTGGGCAGTTGGAGGCGGCTAAAATGCATCAAATTGGCACAGTGGGGGGAACAGCTGGTGGGTCTGCCAGCCGTCTCAGTCGGTCAGCCCATATCAGCGAGCCTTCGACACTTCACGTGGCCTCAAAGTGCACCTGGTCTGGCACTGGTGCCGTGGTGACGTCGCCGCTACTTAGTGGCGAATGGCAGGTTGTTGTTCTACTCATTTGAGGCTGAGTCGACCTAGGGGAGACCCAGGACCAGTTCAGATAATCGTCACTGGTGTTTGCCGTGAGAAGGAATCGAACCCGGGTCGCCAGGTTCGTAGTGCAGCGTAACTGCTACACTACCCAGAGACACGCACACGTGCACACGGCAGCATGGCCCATCTCCTATCTGGAGAAGTCATGCCACGGAATGCCAGCCCACTTCAAAAATACACATCTCCAAATGTATCCCATTTAAAGCATCCGCATAGTCGCAGCCACCACCCACGACAAATATAGATCCACCATCCGTAATCAAGATTTTCAGCAATGCTAACTATTCGCAGCATTAATACATTATTATTTTTTTTTTATTCTACACCCCGAGAAAAAAAAATCTCCAAGGTCAATGAAATGTTAAAGAAAGAGCCACACGGCTCGGTTCCATGGGCACGATGTACAGACTTGTTTCATTGTTTGATAACAAATCAACGAGGATATAAAAAGCCAAGCATTCATTGCACATGGATTGCGAAGCTCCTTCCAGCACGGGCTTGTCTCCGGAACGGTTTACTGAGCGAAACTACTCTCTTCAACTACTTACTCTTTTTCGATTTAAAGCTTTCGTGACTGCAGGGATTCATCTTCTTGGTTCTTTCGGTAAAGTCACGTAGAAGGGAAGTAATAAAAAATAAATATAAAACACAATAAAATAATTCTCACGACGTTTCGGCCACAACGCAAGCAGCCGTCCTCAGGTGAATATATATATGCTCCAAGCTCGTGTGCTGTTTCATTCAGACTCTGTCGCCTCGACGGACCTGGTTTTCACCTGAGGACGGCTGCTTGCGTTGTGGCCGAAACGTCGTGAGAATTATTTTATTGTGTTTTATTTTTATTTTTTGTTACTTACTCTTTTTAATTTTACCAGGTTCGGGTCCCACTGAGCTACGTAGCTCTTCTTCAGAAGCGACCTGGCCATCACAAATGAGAGCTCGACGAAGTGGCTTATCGATAGCGGCCAAATGCTCCAAACGCACATTTACAAATGGGGAGGGGAAAACTGGAGGACCCGGAGAAAAATCTACGCGACCACGGTGAGAGAGAGAGAGACACGCTGCTGCTGCTGCTGGAGAGACGATGTCGCTCGGCTGGCTTGGAAACGCCTGGGAATTCCCCGGGAAAGAGCTGGAGTCTGTGTATAGCAGTGTAGTAGTGTATAGTGTAGTGTAGAAGTCTATAGTAGTGTAGTGTATAGTGTAGTCCATAGTGTAGTGTAGAAGTGTATAGTAGTGTATAGTAGTGTAGTGTACAGTAGTGTATAGTGTAGTAGTTTATAGTCAGTGTATAGTGTAGTAGTGTATAGATAGTGTATAATGTAGTAGCGTATAGTAGTGTAGTGTATAGTAGTGTAGTATTGTATAGTTAGTGTATAACGTAGTAGTGTATAGTAGTATATAGTGTAATACTGTATAGTAGTGTAGTGTATAGTAGTGTAGTGCATAGTCGTGTATAGTGTAGTAGTGTTTTAGTAGTGCATAGTGTAGTGTAGTAGTGTATAGTGCCGTAGTGTATAGTGTATAAGGGTGTATAGTAACGTATAGTAGTGCAGTGTATAGATGTGTATAGTGTATAATAGTGTATAGTCATGTATAGTAGTGTACAACATGCGTCAGGCTTGGTGATCGACCCACGACCTCCTGCGTACAAGGCGAGGTAGTTAACATCTGGCCATCACGGCTCCCGTAACCGAGAGGACTTTGCCGTGGCTGGCAGGGCCAGGATGGTAAAGCGGGGGTTCCCTTCAATGATTGTTATTTTGTCTGGGCAACCCGCTTGAAAAACTCGATCAGTTCTCAACAGGACAAGTCCCATAGAGCAACGCAACCTTCATTAGACGAGTTTTGTTCACACTTGGCTCATCTTTACGAACAGAAGAGCAGATGGATAATTCTAGATTTGAAGCTTTCGTGACTTGCAAGGATTCATATTCTTAGGTTTTTTCGGTAAAGTCATTTAGGTAAAAAATGTAAATTAATAAAAGTAAAATAAAAATAAAATAAAAATCACGACGTTTCGGAGGCAATACAAGCTTCCGTCTTCAGGTGGAACCGTCATAGCACGATTGCTGCATCAAGTGAGAGCAGATGGATAGATAGACAGACAGAAAGCGTGAATGGATCAACGCTTTCAACTTTAGTTGGAATGCATTGATAAAATATAAAACGAATGAAGGTGAATCATTTGGTGCCCCCCCTTCTCCCTCATGGCTCCAGCCCCGCCCCGTCCACCTTTGTCTTCCCAATGCAATGTCCCTGGATTACTTTTCAGCCCCCCAGCTTTCTGTCCCCCCCCCCCCCCCAACTACGACCAGGCCGCTCCCAACCCCTCCTTATCAATCCCTCTTGTTTTACTGCATCAAAACTACAATGACACAATTCTTAATTTGAAATCATTATCATGCTATGTACAATTCTATAGTTGCTGTAAAGCGCCTAGGTAAAGGCGCTATGTAAATCTCATTAAGACAAGATTCTGGTATTGCTCTTTTTAGTTTGCACACTGCCACCCTGCAGTGTCCTGTAACTGCCACCACTGCCAATGTTTGGGGGGCTGTGGTCACCTTTGCGTCAGAATCAGATTCCTTATTTCGACTGGAGGAATCCATTGAGCCATGCATCTCTGTTTTTGTCACGGATTTCCAGTAAAACAAAGATAACAGAGCTGTTTGGCTCGATGGGTCTCACCAGCGGAAATAAAGTCCAAATTTCAGTCTCTCGGTGGACTCGGTGCATCTCTGCGTAACTCCGCGGGATCTCTGTGCAATTCGACGGATCTCCACGTAACTCTACGGAACTGCAACGGCGTTGGGCTGTGGCCGTCCTCGTAAGAGAGCCGCTTTAGCCCAGCGGTGGCCACACTGGCGCCGAGTCAGGACGAACGAGCGAACGAGTGAGCGAGCCGTCTCACCAGCCTCTCCCCGGACAGAACCTCGAGGAGCTTGATGAGCATGCGTCCATCGCGCAGGTCCAGGTACAGGTCGCTGATGCGGCACGAGACGCGGGCCAGGTGCGAGTTCACCCACTTGGTGAAGGTCTTCTTCTGCACGACCTCGCGCTCGTCTGGGGCAAAGGCGCAGAGAGGGCGGGGGAGGGGGGGGGCATTCGCACATCACCGTCGCCATCACCGTCATTGTCGCCATCACCGTCGACATCACCATCACCGTCACCATCACCGTCGCCATAGTTTTCGCCATCACCGTCGGCATCATTGTCACCATCGCCCTCACCATCAGCGTCGTCATCACCGTCGCTTTCACCATCGCCATCATCGTCGCCGACACCATCGTCATCACCGTCGTTATCACCGTCCTCATCACCATCACCTTTATCGATACTGTCAGCAACATCGTCATCGTCACCTTGGTTGTTAAGCTCCCAGCGAGTTACCTTCCTCGCGATTCGATGAATTGTTACAAAATGGGGCTCGTGAATTGATAATAAAAAAAAAATCGGTTCCCATTCTACGTACGTACGTTGAACTTCTTTCGCACCACACGTAGCCAACCGTGATCACTGGTCAACACACTTTTTCTGGCATAAGGCATTCCAACGGTTTTAATGTAATTTTGGGGTGCTGATTCCAAATCTGGCATCAGTTTTTGTCTATCACATCAGGTTTTTGAGATATCAAATATTGCATTTTCAATAAAAACTGCAAATAAATGTGGATATCTACATAAAATGATATTATAAACACACTATCCTAAAAATACAGCGCCATATTTTAATACTAAAGCAGTCACTGACGCACAACAACTTGCAATCATAAGTGACAGAGTTAATTTCGGGTAAAATCAATGAAAATGGTGTATGCCGATAGCATAAAAATGAGATGTGATAGAGCAAATCTGAGATCAGATTTGGAATCAGCACTCTGAAATTAGTCTAAAACAGCTGCAAAAGTCCAGGCCATAAAAATGAGATGTGATAGAGCAAATCTGAGATGAGATTTGGAATCAGCACCCTGAAATTAGTCTAAAACAACTGCAAAAGTCCAGGCCAGAAAAAAAATGTTGTTGACCAGTGTAATCGGAAAACCGTGAAATGGGGCGCCCGTTATTGGCTGTGGGCTGTAAGCGAGTCGATTACGTTCACGACGCATACGTCGTGAACGTAATCGGCGTGATCGGTCATTACGCAGCACGACGCGTGTATTGCGAAGTGAATCATCGTCGCACGCTTGACGGCTCATGTTTGGCGATGATCCTGCGTCAGCAGTGGTGCACGGGCACGAATAACAAAATAACCCAACGCGTTAGGAAGGAGGGCCGTTGACCATTGCTCTAAATGTCACCGTTTGTATTTATTTTGCTTCTTTTAAAGCCACCGTGTTATTGCTGGACATGTTAACAATTTTGTTCGCGGTTAATATCACCACCAGTGATTATTATCAAGATAACTGGTGATGATTAGCACACTTGGCTACGTATGGTGTGAAAGAAGCTCAACATACATACAAGATCTTATTCATAATCATATCATAATAATCATTCCAACATCATTATCGTCATATCCATCGCTGTGAACAACATCGTTTCATAATTATCATTGTCGGAATTATGATTATTCTCATCATCGTTGTGATCAATGTTTAAATTTTAGGGGGTGGGGTGGTTGCCCCCGTTGTCTCCCTCCCACTCGACTCCCCCCCCCACCTCGCCCCCCCCCTCCCCCCTGCGATCCCACCTCCACCAAAAAACAGTCCAGAAAAGTGAGACCTCAACATCGGTGACGGGAAAACAAAGAGTGAAGCTCACGGGGCGAACCAAACCTCGGCCGTGACGGTAGCAGGGTAACGGGGAGGCGACTGACCACCAGTGAGCGAGTGACCGCAGTGACTTGGTGGTCCCTGGGGTCGCCACTCACCCTGACCGCTGATTTGCGTTACATTCTATGCAGTGCAGCGAGGTTAGCAAGGAGGGCGCCTCCACCCCAGATCAGAGGTCGCAAACGGGTTTTGATTCCTTACCCGTACCCGGCCTCACCAGGGTCCCAATGGGTACCCGTACCCGGCCGGGTACGGGTACCGGCCAGGTACGGGTACCCGTTCCCTACCCGTACCCGTACCCTACCCAAAATGAGTGACAAACGGTTACTCACCAGTGACTCACGGCCTACCCGTACCCGTACCCGGCCGCACCAGGGTCGCAAACGGCTACCCGTACCCGGCCGGGTACGGGTAGCCGGGTATCGGGTAGGGTACGGGTATCGGGTACCTGGTTGCGACCTCTGCCCCAAATGTGAACGACAAGGATGGACGTCACGTGATGCTGGCAACACCACAGTAGTCCAGCGTTTGGCTCTGTAGTTGGTATGGTCGTGGTAATGGCCACGCAGAGTCACAGAAGGCTTCGGCGTGGAAAAGAAAGCCAAGCCTCTTCGATGCCTCCTGCACCAGCTTAGTAATCATGACCATTCCATGGCAGCTCAGATGAGACGGCTGTGCCAAGCAGATTCGTGGGTTTTACGATGGCCGAGAATAACAAATTACAATTGGCAGCAGCAGCAGCAGGAGGAAAAATAAAATCCACAACAAGGTGAAAAACATTGTTGTCACGCGGGCACATATTCCGCAGATTTCTATCGGCCTGTGATGCAAGTCCAGAGCGAGCTCGCACGGCCGGATTAATGGTGCAACACAATGGGCAACATTGAGCTCCTGGCCAGCCCTGCGCATGGGGAATGGAAACAGAGAACGGAGCGGCGGATGGGAAGAGGGTTCATGGAGGGCAACGCGAGGTGCCGACTGAGCGGTGGACCCGAGCAGCGTGTCTCCCAGAAAACACGGAACGTCGGGGCCAACTTCAACGGTTACAACCGCATTCCAACGTTGACCCAACGTTGACCCAACGTCGCGCGTTCAATGGGTCGGGCGGAGAGGTGGTGTGGGGGGGAGGGTGGTGGGCGGCGTCAGGGGGAAGAGGGGATCGCAGCCGCGCCCAGGAGCTCCACTGCAATGCAGCGCTGCGCTTCTCTGCGGTGAAGGTGCTGCAGGGTGGCAGGGGGTGGCGGAGGAGGAGGGAGCATCGGGCGTGCACGACGCGTTGGAGCGGCGAGATGGGTGGGGGGGTGGTGGCTGTCCAGGCGCACGGGGGGTGCGGTTGGCTGGCGAAGGGCGGTCTTACTTCACCCGTACTGCGCAACCGGCGCGCGGCTGACTGGCACAGCGCGGCTGCTCTCTGCGCGTTGCTGTTTTTTTATTCTCTGCCATTTGGGAGCGCCGCCACCTCGGAGCGACGGCGACGAGAACGGCATGCGTCACACGCGCGGTGCGCGGTACGAACGCGAGCAGGCGCATTCCAATGAGCATTGCTGCTTCACAGCATTGTGCACATGCACGTTGAACTTCTTTCGCACCGTACATAGCCAAGCGGAGGTGCAGGGGGGAAAGGACAACAAACTGAACACAAAAATTCAGTCGTCAAGAAATTAGGTCTCAATCTAGATTTAAAAGTGCATAGCTCCAGCGGCTTCCTTGCGGTGAGTACGCGACGTGACGATGCGTCGATTCCCAATGGCCAAGACAAACAGACGTTGGGAATTCATTCCTCGAGTCATGTTTGTTGCATGCAGGGGGTTGGCACTACGAACCCGGCGAGAGATGAGTTCGACTCGTGGCCGTGGATAGTGCCAGCGGCGATACCTGAGGCCGCCCCCTTCGCCAATGGCGCACTGACCAGCGCGGAGAAGTATGGTCAAAACAAACGCGTCACCATGGTCAGTGCAGACTTGAGAGGGGGGGGCAAGATTGGTTAAGATATCACTCGCCACTGACGTTAGCCGCGTCCAGCAAGCCAACTCAGGTCGCCGGGGATCATAGTTCAGCGCACCACTCCACACCTACCCCCACTACACCCTCCCCCCCCCCATAAAATGAGCACCACCTGATTCGGCTGCACGCCTTTGTGAGAGGTCAACGTGGGTTGAGTTAAGGTAATCCTGACGCCCCGCCCCCACCCCGTCCCCCGTCATATGAATGTGGAATTTCCACCTCCGGCCAGGGGGCGAACGATCGATGAATCAATCCCATGGTTTGTAATCGGCACGGCACCGAGACAGAAGCGCAAACGGCGCCGAGGGAACCGTCGGCTCAACGACGAACCCCGAGTGCCACCCAGTGCTCGAAAGACTCATCGTGATCACCGGCCATCTTATCCACTGCTGGATGAAGGAAGGACTCCCCCCCCTCAAGCTGTCGCCATCTCTCTCAAGAGTCTTGACAGATGCAACAAATACATTGAACTTTTTCCTGATGTTGCTGCAGTTATTTTTGCTATGATTATCATTAATGTTGGGCAAACATTTTCATCGGGGACAAATTATGGCGGTTGAACCTGGAACGTAGCGGCTGACTTTGGCCCCAATGTAAACATCCAGAACGGCGCGTGTTGTAGGTGCCATCCTCCTGCGGACAGCGTGGCCACAAAAAACGCTGCCAAAGGTTTGGCCATTGTGTTCCTAGCGTCACAACCGCCATGCAGTGGCCAAATACAGCAGTGGCTCCAACGCGGGCTTGGGCTCAAAGCAACGTCACTCACCGCCGCCCATTCCCACTCCGATCAAACTGAAGAAACTGCGCTAATGACCTGAGTATACAGGAAACTCATGCATTATTTCATGGCATTATGGGTAATGAGATAAATATACAGACTTCCAGAAACAAATTTTAAATGTTTAGTCATCGTCCTATTGGATTTCTGGACTGATAAATCTTCTTCTTTCCCACGGCTGCTGATGTAGATGCAGAGCAACGACTACAATGTCACATTCAGGTGATCAAGCCAGACAACCGCGTCAGCAGCAGCGGAGTGGCATCGCTGTGATGTCTCCTTCGTATTTGTGGACCGGGGCGTTGCGTCGATAGACATTGTACGGTTTGTTCTGGATGACCACAGTCGCACATGACTAGAGAGTTTTTATTTTTATTTTCCATTTGACAAAGAATTATCCTATGAGCATTTGTTTAAGCAAGCAAACAAGATGTTGCTGGCTTACCAGATGTTATTGGCTAGAGCACTCCGTAAAAACTATGGCAGGATTCCCCAAATTCCAGAATTCAT